AGAAGCAAAGCTTCAACACGAGTTAACGCAGTAAAATAGGCCAAGCGATATGTTCACAAAAGACAGGCTGGTCCTTATCCCCTATCATTGTTTTATGCCCCAGCCCCGCAGAGCCCCAAACACTCGAGGAATGTCAAGCAAGGCCAAAGCCGCGTCTCCAAGCCAATTGTGCAACGCCCCCAGCGACGACCCTGTTTTATCGGGGTCGCGTGTCAGAGGCAAACATACCTCAGCAAACTCACCCTCGAGTGCACTCGCTCGAGTCATTCACCCTCAGAAATAGGTGACAATGAGCAAAATTGTAAGCATAAAAAAAAAAATCACGACTTTTTTTGAAGGGCATGAGTTTGGTAAAGGGTGCGTGAATTCAATAGTTTGGTGAGTTCAAAACTTTGTTGTGTTCATGAGTTTTGTGAGTTTGAAGGTAAAAAAAAGGGCTATTCATTTTATTTTTTTAATTTAAGCAGGTTGTGAGTTGGCGAGTTAAATCTGAAATGCCGACCCATGTCAATAAAGTGACAACAGAGTTGGCAGCTGCATCTTGGAAAGTTTATGGCCGGTACAAAAAATGCTCCGCAGGCTCGAAATGCAGTCCACGCGTGCAGCATGTACTGCTGTGACTCATCTGACCAAACAGTTGTGCGCCCTATCTCGAACGACTGCGCAACAACGTACAAGGCGACTCAACTTCTCTTTAGAGGACGGCACAAATCAGCTTTCTGACAGCGTGTGCTGTGGTTTTCCACACAGACATAATTAGGTGGTGCATTTGGAGCTTCAGTGTATAGCTAGCTAAGTCAGTTAACAAATTAAAAAAAAAGCTTTTTTTTTGTAAGTAAGCTTATTTATTCTAAAGGAAGGCAACCATAACTTTTATGTGATACCATTGTCTTGTCAAAAATAAATGCCACAACTTTAAATGCTGTCTTTTTGGGTAAATTATCCCTCTCAAATAAGTCAGAATTATGTATTGTTTTAACATGTATCCCAGGTGATATCCATGCGTGCTGGAAAAGAAGAAGATATGTCCCTCTGGAAAATTACAGTGGCTCATACAAACTGATTCACACGATCAAATACATTGATGCAAAATAAATGGAATCACCCTCTTGGATAGGTTGACTGAACAAATTTCAGAAAACTCTCAGCAACGTTTGCAACTGGCTGCAGCCGTTCGGTTAAGCACAAATATGGTTTACTAAGTGCCCCATAAACGAGTCATGGCATGACATGGGAAAATGTGTTCCTTGCAGTCACGTTAGACTTCCCTAGGAGCCAAGACAGTGCTATGTAAAACCATATTTTATGTGAAAACAAATTTTCGTGTGCATGGCCACACGGCCTGTTATCATTAACAGTACCCAGTTTGTTGCATGCCAGTGTTGTCCACGTATCTCCGAAACAGGAACGAAAGCTCGTTCCTTCTCAATCTTGGAGCATGTTCCCATTACAAGTTCCAGTGGTTCGAAAGGAATGCATTCCTGCTACCTTTCTAAGATTGGAATGTGTCGTTATATTAGCGTTACATTTTGCATATTTTAACAAATATGATGCTAGATAATCCATAGATACAATAAAGCGAGCCACTGGAAGTATCTCCAACGAACTATGTGTCGAGTCCCCGAACGCCACAATCACACTTGTTCCAGTTCTCTGTTTTCAACTATCTCTCGAATATCTTCCCATTCCTTGAAGTCGGAGGCCGAAATAGTGATTATTAAAAATCCCCCAAAGGTCATTCTGGTGATAACCCACACTACCTGGGGATAGTTAAGGAGAGAGAATTGGCTTAGAAGGGCGGGAGGAATCAAATGTTTGTCTTTCTTCGACTTAGGCTAGGTGGCACAAGCTACCGCCCGCTACAAAGCAACATCCATCCATCCAACTGTGAATGAAAACAGAGGTGGCGGATAGAGCGAGACATTATACCCCCCCCCCCCCCCCCCTCGAGAAACTTAAATTCACATTGCTAAGTAATATGAGCAACAATATTAAACACTAAATATGTTAGAAAACATACAAAGAAATACCAGTACCTCAAATATAATTACAATCTATTCACCTCGCTTCCAAGGAGAAAAACAGACCTTATATCCAAGTACATTTGACGCTGATTATTACTGTTATAATTACTAGTGATAGTCGTACCACAAACATTTTAAAAATTGTCTTGACTTTTTAACCCCCACTGTTACCATGATTGAACTTATGGAAGCAATAATTTAAGCGTGTATTGGTGTTCGGCCCAACCAGATGACATACCCCATATTAAAGAAATGTATTAGGGGAATGCCATGCTGGAACATCAAATTCTCTCATTATATTGTATGCCTCTTTCTTGCAAAGGTCGAGTCAGGGTCGCTACTCCCTTAAAGAGTAGTTAGCTCCTTCTAGAGCTTAAAAGAGGGGATCCAAAAACCTTACTAAACAAAAACACAAAAAAATTAGCCTAGTGTTTCCCTCAATGCGCCAACTGCCGGTTGAACCTGTAACACTGGTTCCTGTGAAGGTTTAATAATGACAGATTCACGCATTTATAATTATTTCTGCCCCACTTCTCTGCATGATGTCCCAATTTCAGAGCTCTCAAATTCATGCTGTGATACGCCATTCTGAAATTCTTCAGTAGAAACTGAAAGTGAAATCGTGAAAAGGCCTTCCAGCTTTTGGTGGCTTGCATTGTTCAGTGAGCCCATGCAAGACCCATGACATGGCACCGTCGAGTCCCTCACAACTTCAAAAGAGCAGTTAAGTTGGAACCTTACTGCATCTCCCTCCACCATGTGGGCTAAGATCAAGAAAGCACATTTTGATCAGACCCACAGCCCTCGCACCACTAGTAAAGTAAAAACAATATGCAAGAGGCATTAATTCGGTCATCAGTTTACTTTACATGCTCACGAACAGCTGATGCCTTGGTAATGATGCACAACAAAAAGATTAGTCAGAAACAACCTAATGCAACAAAACGCAAGTTGAAAACATCAATATCCGCTGCATATTTTTGATCGCAGCACAATGTTAGGCAGAGGCTAAGCATTTTACCCTCACTACTGAAAAAATGAATTTTTAATAGTGAAACAGTTTGAGGAGTGAGCTAAACCTTGCACCTGCTCATTGTACTTCAAATTAGACAAAGGAATCAAAATATTGTTGAGGAAACACATTTAAAATTATTGTGCTAACTAAAGAGGTGCTGGGTATTGTGACAATGCAAACTAGATCCTTCAAGTGGTGCATCTCGTCTCTACTTCTTGGGAGTTGTTCCCACCCGCCCAAACACTTCAATATAGGATGATACCATGCTGTAATAGAAACCGGAAAAATTGGCACATGCACATTGAAATCTCAAATTTTCTCCAAATGTGCACTGAGCAAGTCAGTTTTACCGTGTGAAATTTCAAGACATAGTTCTTTTCCTGTAAAAAGTATACGACATATAAAGAAATGGCGCTGGAATGCACTCCAAATGCACAAACAAAAAAGCCAGAAATAATGAGAAACTGCATTGCAATGCGGGTCTTCTTGCCATAGTATTTACTGAACATTGTCACCAGCGTCACCATTCTTACTCCCCTTGTTTCATGTCTAACTAGGCTTAAAAATATTTGTGTTCTCATTGATTTATGCCTGGTTAATTTTGATGTATGCTTTGATTTATGTCTTACGCTTTGTTCATGACTGGTAAATTAATTTTCTTGGTCACAATTTTTATGTAAGGAAAATTTTAAATTCAAGTATAAATTTCATCTCCCTTAGGGTGCTATTTCTAATACCTACTCTAACTATATCTTTTTTTTAGTTGAAATACCTGTTTATTAGCTTTATCTCTTTTATAATCACTCCTTTTCTCTTGCCCTCGAGAATGCGAAAAATCCCTACTCAGGCACCTTAGCCAAAAGTTTTAGTGTCCCACAGACCAAGAGTTCATTGTAGGAAGCTAGCTCATTAAAATAAACAAGAAACGAGTATTCGCCAATCATAGTTTCTTTTAAAACAATATAACGCCCCGAGACGGCACTTTTGAAATCTCGCTTTCCAACGAAATGTATCCGAACTCCAAGCAAAACGGCTGTCGTGGCGTAGACCTGCGAAACCAGCTTCAATGCACTGTCAATAAGAAGGGGAAAATAAAGTATGTCCGTCATTTTAGCAGGCAGCACAGCCACCACGAAAATGTCCCCAGTTTCAAACACGCAAATCAAAAAGAAAAACGACCACGAGTGCGACGAAGTCGGGAAATCGTAGGACACGGAAGTGAAACCGAAAGTGGAGGCTGACAAACAAGCGTCCAAATAACAATACAAACATTAATAATAAAAAAAAAAGAAAAATGTGGTCCGGTAGGAAGCCAAGGGGGTACCCAAGCGACGCAAATCTCTGCAAACGAGTTTGTCCCGTTCGATTTGTGTCCCTTTTTTTCTTTTTCTTTTTTGTTCTCAATAGGAGCACAAGACGGGAAGTTCGCCATTGGTCATTAATTCCACTTTCCACTCGTTCTAAGCTTCCGAGTAAAACACATCCAGGGACTGCTCATTACGAGCCCGCTCTGCTGCGTCGCAGCGAGTAGAGACGTCGTAGCCGGGGAAAAAGAAAACAATTTCACAATTACGGACCTGCACCGCTAACACAAACAACAGCTGACCGGTGCCTTGTAAGAAGCATTCGCCCTCCTTTCAGAAATCTAGCGATTCCACTAGACAATTTTCAACTCTTCTTATGAGAAGTATTCGGCTAGCCAGAGTAACATACAAAACTTCGAAACGTGAAGTTCTTTAAAAAAATAAAAAATAAAAAGAGGACTGGAAACATCGTGCACCATAACCACCCATAAAAAATGTAATGGTAGTTTTTACCCTTTCTCTGGGGCATACCTCATATGAGAAGTTTCAATCGCCGGTTCAAGAGGTCTAAGCAAATAAAAACGAGGTAAGCCCCACGATGTTGGGTAATCCCTACCACTAACAACAATATGGTAAAACCGAAAACAAACAACTTACCGCCATCACCAACTCGAAGGGGTACTTGTAAACACGCACTGGCGACTGGTACTTCTGAACCATCTTGGGGCCGATTTGTCGTCGGTGCGGTGGACAAAACGGAAGATTCGAAGGAAGCGGAGGAAGGATCAGCCGACGACGCGTTAATCCAGAGCCTTAATCCGGCATGTGACTTGATTAGATGCACTGGGATCTACACTCACACGGAGGCGGGGGGATTATAGCCCTAAAAGGCTGCTAGACCGTAGCCCGAAAACACCGCCGTAGTTCCGCATTGTTTGGGAACGCCGCTAGTGGAGTCGGTGACGGACCACCTCACGACGATATCGTCCAACATTGTGCCCGAGATTTCGATGCGTTTGCTCAGAGGTCCTGTAATACGGAGACCATCCACAACCACCGAGAGCTAACAACCCACACAAGCAGTCATGCACAAGCAAGCAGCACAACGGTAATTAATAAAAAGTCTGCCTTAGCACTCGACGCGTCAGAAGCGGACAGTTGATAAACTAGTTTCTTCAAGAAACTGCTAAGGAATGTACAAAGTAGCAGACACAAGAGAAATAAAACGATACTCTTCAATTTATCTTTTTTAAATATTTCACACAACTGAACGACGCGTATGAGCCTAAAATATGTTTAAAGAATTGTCCAAAAACGAAACTACAGTGTTCTAACGAAACTACATAAAGATCAGTGCACGTGACCCTTAAAGTTATTTAACCCTATGACGTGACCAACTAATTACGAAAATTACAAGCTTTCTGTTACATGTGTTCCACAACTAAACTTTATTACACGCATTATTTATTTTACAAACCCTACAGACTTACGTAATTTAGTCACGTGAGTCAAATAGAACGCGCACAAGGGACGAATATTCGAACACGCATTATCAAAATGGGAGAGGGCGTTGTCAGTTTTCAAAATGGCGTCAGCTCGCGCCGCAGAAGACTTCTCAAATTTCTCATCAACGTTCTCTGTGTCGTTTTTCTTTCGAAATTAGTCGGGAAACCTCGAAGCTGTTCAACTTGGGAGTGAGCGCAGCTCATTTATATTGAAAACTGCCGTATCTCGATACGACCTAACGCCGAAAAAACCAAAACAAAGCAAAACAAACCAAGGCAACAACATTGTGCGAGTAGTTACACAAGCCTCCGATCTCTCCACCAACCCACACAATCGTGAACGGGGAATCACTCCGGCGCAGAAAGACAGAAAGACAAAGGGTGACAACCGCGAGACGCTTCGGTGTCGGTTTTTGTCTAGACATGAGTCAGAAACGCTTCGTACGGGCCAGAAAAAGAATGTGCTGCACGACAACGGAGCCAGTGTCCAAGCGGGACTGCAGGGCCACCGCTCAAGGTAGGTCAAGCCTCAAGCCTCGTCACCTCTGTAGTTTGCGTACCCTGACATCCGATTCGTTGTTTAAACTCGCAGACGCCGCGCTGCTGCTTACACTACACGTCGAGATCGGCAGGAACCGTCGCTTCCCCGACGTCTGCAACGAGACCAAGTCGGCACTCCAGTTGCTTCGATCCATTTTCCCAACGGACAAATTTTCGCCCGGATTTCCGCCCATCGTGATGAAGCACCAACTCTACGCCATGGTCCAGACCAGATCGGATGTCGAGAAGGCCTTGGTAAGCGTCCAGTCCCCCGTACGTACTACGTATCCCGTAGAAGTGGTCTATCAAACCACTGTTTCACACATCTCATGGGCATCTTCGAGGACGTCCTGTGGACCAAAAGAAGCGGACGGCGAAAAGTCGTTTTATATCCCTCCTCGAGCCTCTCAATAACAATATTTAGACATCTAGTTGACGGTCAAAGTGCCTAGAAGACATCATCCAGATGTGTCTGGTGGTCTTTTGGACCCCCGTACTTCAGGGGTCTTAAGGACATCTAAGACGTGCTCTAGACCAAAAACCAGCAGACGGATACGATACATTTTATATTCCTTTGTCCTAGATGTCTAGTAGATGGTCAAGAAGTCTAGAGATGTCCTCCATATGTATGATGGTGCATTAGTTGAGCTGGAAAGGGGCTACAAGACATTGGAAAATGTCTGGAACTATATAATGTCTTGCCAAGTTGTAAATAATCATTTCTAGGCATTTAGCTGATGGTCATGACGTATGGAAGACATCTTCCAGATGTATGATAGCGCATTAGTTGAGCTAAAAGACTGCCACAAGACGTTGCAAGTTGCTCAGGTCTCTATAACATCTTGCCAAGATGACTACAGGACATCATGTACCTCTTGCCAGGACATCTTTTAGACATCTAGTACATGTCGTTATGAGGATGCTTGCTATGTCAGTGGACATGGAAGGTTGTAGTGAACATCAAAGTTACCTCTCCATTTGTATTTTTAGATAAGGCACTGATAACTTGACTGATTGACTGAGAAACTTTGAAAACTGAGATAGCACCAATCCACGACACAACACGATGAAGGTTGCATGCGATTCAGTTGCGACCTGTGAACTTTTACCAATTAGTGTTGCTCTTGTGCTTTTTTACCAATTGGGACATCATTCACTTGATGGATGGACGGATAATAATGGCTGTACCCTTTATATTGAGTAAGATCCCTCCATACTGAAAGGTAGTGACTTCTCCCCCTCTTTTTTATCTCTCGCCCTCGCGCGTCGACGGTGGTGCTGCCTGGATCGCTTCAAGCTAGCAGACGCTCCCGCTTGAATCCAATGGGGCGGAAGGTTGTTTTCATTAGTTTTCGTGTTTCGCGATTGCATTTCTGTCGCAAGTTCTGATGCAAGCGTAATTGACTACAGAGACTACAGATATCAGCAGAATGACTTGATGGTCTGGAAAACGTGAACTAGGGCAAAAATGGGCACTGCGATGCGAGCACGGTCTAGGCTACTCTGCTACCAAAGCGAGCTCTGTTTCGCTCCTGCGCAAGCAAAGCCACCGACTACATGCAGCAGCAAACTCTTGTAAGTTACAGAGTGACTTTGGTACAATTGAAGGCATTGTTTTTCTGCACGCACGCGCCAGACGCAAAGCAGGGAGATCAAACACTCGGTTTTTTTTCATCGCTTCGTAAGGGAGGCAAGACGTGACATGTAAGCACAAAGCGATTGCTGTGTTAGAGCGCAGCTCTTAGGCGCCCGTTTCCGGCTTGAGCGGCGTCCCCCCCCCCCCCTAGGTCACGTGACTCCCATCCAGGTCACGTGACCCCTCCCCCCGAGATCACGTGACCCCTGTGAGGGGAGGAAGAGAAAGGAGGGGAGCAGGGAGCATGAGCAGAGGGGACGAATCCGAATTTTCATTACTCTGAAAAATGATTTTAAAAGACTCTTATCTCTTGCTCCTCGGCCGGCTTCGAACCGGAGCCCTTTCGTTCAGGAGTAGCAGGCAGGATCACGAGGGAGGAGAAATATACCCTTCCCTCAGTACCAAGCTTCCCTCTTCCTCAAGAGCTGTGCTCCAATTCGGCGTTACAGGGAGTTGTAAACGGCTTTCTTTTTTTTTTTTTTCTTTCACAACTGAAGCATTCTCCTCAAAGCGACTGTACTGTCTCACCTTAACGTAGACCAACCAAAGAGGCTACAAACGTGAGCGGACAGCTTTGACTCGGGCTCCCGCTGCACGAGCGTTGACGCAGTCGAGGCGTGATCAAACGTAAGGAGCCTCTGCTTGTAACGTTTGCATTTGGTTCATGTTAAGCGGAGATTTCTGTTGTCTAGATAATAAAATAAGTTTCCCCTTCTAACGATACCTGTCCTTGGCGTGCGCAGTGTGTCGTAATAGTTGCGCGAAAACGATCCACTAACATTTGATCCCTATTGCTGTAAAGGCACGGCTGTGAGCCTTTACCCTCTACACGGCATAACGAAATCGGAATATCCTGCGTAAAAGAATCTTAGCAGAACGAGCAAAATCCCAAATTATTTTCTAAGGCTGGTGCAGCTGGCGAATGGAGCGAAAATGGCGACGTGGGGCCTCGAAAAGCAAAAACAACCAAAACAAAATACGCATGCAGCGAGCTCTGAATGATGGACTACATTCGTTCAATGAGAGGAGCTGTCAGTGTTCTTCAAAACATGTTGCTGCCTTTTAAGTATGGCTGCAACATCTTTTTGACTGGTTTTTAACTTGCGCCTAACCTGAGCGCACTGAACATAGTAACTTAAAGAAACTTTTCTTCTCTCAAATTTCGCTTTATTTTAAAAGTTATAGGCAAATTAGAATGAAAAAAACAAGCAAAAAATAACCTCCTTCATGACGTCGTAGGTCCTGGCTTGAGTGGCCGTGAACTAGAGGAGGGCTAGTGAGCTCATCGAGCGGTTACGGCTGCCGCACTCCGTGTCGACGGCTCGAGAGGGCGCCACTAAAGCACGTGTTGGATAGGCTGTATGAAGTGGGTGGCCAGGACGGCTCGCATTGCATTTGCTGCGTGATTGAAGACTGATTAGGCATAACAATTCATTGGCCACAAACGACAGCAAACACGGGGTAAAGATCAGTTCAGAGCGGGAGCCACTTCGCTCTGCCATACCGCCAAATGGCCAAATCGCCAGCCAAGCCCACGCCGAAAGCCTTCGGAACGCTCGAAACCGGTCGGATCCTTGAGCCGGTTTACGACCTCAGCGCCGCCATGTACATCCGGGAACTTGCTACGCTCGCCGTTCATCGGAGCCTCATCCCACTAGCCCTTTCTAGTTTGCACCGTTTTTTCCGCCGCTTGGTGGCAGGTTTGTCGAAGGGTCTTTTCTTGTTTCCGTACTTTATAAACTGCATTTGTTTCTTTTCTGATCTAAATTGCTGAACTAAAACTACTTTCATAGATAATTGAAACGGTTTGCGACCTTTATATTTTGTATCTCGACTAAAAAAAAAAAGCTTTTAGCGGCTCTGACCGCTAGTAACCCCAGGACCAAAGACGTCGCATATTGCGCGCTTTCAGCAACGTGGGTCGCCTTCGTAAGTGGAGGAGGTTTCCGCGTCTTCCGGTTAAAATATGACACACTGATATTTAGTTACTCTCTCTGTGCCCGCTGGCTTGCCCGAACCCCAAGAGACGTGGAAACCGTAAAAAAGGTAGACGCTTAAATATGATTGCAGGGCCCCCTTTAATACCGAGCGGCAGCTTGCACCACCTAGCCTAGAAACAATAACAAAAACCTAATTTCCCTTTTTAAGCCAATGCGTTACTCTATCACCGGGCCATGAAGATGATCGCCAGGCAGATTTGTGTGAGATTGGGCAAAAGAAAACATCACCCCCGCCTCTTTCCCCTGGCGAGGGAGTCGCCAATTTTCCTCTGGTCAAACCTTGTCGGCGTTAACTAACACCAGACCCATTGGGGTACAGGGTTGAGACTTGGGGCCAGTGCCACGCGGGAGGGAGTCGCAATTCGTTAAATTTTCCCTTGGTAATTTCCTCCAGCACTCCAACCTCCCCTTCGTTGCTTGCCTCTACTCTTCTATAATCCACCCTTCCACCTTATCCAGTGAAACCGAGGGCCACCAGTATGTCTGCCACCCCTTCGGGAAGGGCAGGACGAAGGTCCTTAGATTTTAGAATGACATACTCAATTGCTTTCGTCTCCTCCTTACATAGTGCACACGTTGTATCTGTGTTTTCAAATCTGGCCCTATACGTTTTTGTCCTTAAGACTCCCGTCCTCGCCTCAAACAGTAGAGCGCTCCGTCTTGAATTATCGAATAAGCCTTCCTTTATTTCTTGCTTTTGTGACCTATAAATCATTAAAGCTGACTTTGACTGCATTTTATCCTCCCACATCCGTCTCTCTGCCTCCTTAACTGCCTTTTCCATTGAATGTGTTTGCTCCATCCCATTGCCCGTCTGCAGGAGTTTAACATTTATAGATTTTATGCGCCCACCGCATGTCCTCCATGTCTGTTAGTCTTTGGTCAAAATTTATTTCACTCACTGCCTCTCTGCTCTCAAACAATGGCCAGCTCATATCACCCTGCACTCCCTCGTCTGGAGCGTTCCCATATGCCCCTAGAGCTATCCTGCCAATGGACCTTTGTCCTATCTCCAGTCTCGCCCGAACTTCAGAACTCATGCATAAGACTGCCCTGTGTTTCATAATGGCCGAATCCCTTTTCCCTTCACCGGTTATATGTCTCTCACATTCCTCGAGGTATCTCTTTCCTTCGTTGATCCATAATGCGCCATTCCATGCTGCGCCATAACGCTCCCAGATATTAACCTAATTCCAGATTGTGTTACGCTGAATTTAAACCTGAGAGCGTCCCTTTCTGCGCCACAGATTCCAATCAATTTCTGCAACTCTTCTCGGTTATGTGCTATAAGTACAATATCATTTGCGTAAATTAGGCCTGGCAATTTCTGCCTCACTGTTTTCCCTCCCTCCATGTACTACACATTGAAGCCTAGTTTACTTTCCTCTAGTCTTTTCTCCATTTTTCTTAAGTGAATTATGAAAAGTAGGGGTGATCCACAGACCTGTGTTGACAACAGAAAACAGATTGCATATTCCTGCATAGGGATGTCACTTGCCCCACAGTTGTGTAATCAATGCTTGCTGGTTTGTACAAATTGCCATTGGCAGTGATGGAGCAGGGGTTACTGTTGTAAAAGCCTAATCAAATGTGCATCTAAATCATTCTCTCAGCTGTGCCCAGAGTTTTTTCTGACTCGCACTGTCATGCACTCCTTGAATGTCTAGGAATGCTATCCATAACAATTTCTTACTCATGTGTAACACTTTTATATATTGAGTGATGATGAATAAGTTGTCATCTTATCTTCTATCTCTTCGGAACTTGTTCTGTAGCTCAGCTAAAATAATTTCTGTTCATTCATCCGGTCTGCTAAGGCACGCCCACTGTTGCCAGACAGGTGCTCTAACAAGGCTTCTTTCACCCAGAGTGACCACACCAAAGATGGCGATAAGCATAACCCTTTAAACTTTTGTCCCATTTCTTTAACGAGCATTCCTTGTAAAATCCTTGAGCACATCATTTACACTAACATTTTCAATTTTCTAGACACAAATTCGTTTTTTAACTCGGCGCAACATGGATTTCGAAGGTTTTATTCATGTGAAACTCAATTCCTAACCTTTACTCATGACCTTCACGTAACACTTGACCGGGGTTCCAGGACTGACTGCATATTTCCTAATTCCTCAAAAGCTTTCGACAAGGTTCCTCACGCGCTGCTTCTTCATAAACTTCGTAAACTTAACATAGATCTTAATATAATCGCTTGAATAGAATCGTTTCTATCAGACCGTTACCAATTTGTTCACGCTAACGGAACTAATTCTTCAACCTCACCTGTCAAGTCCGGTGTTCCACAAGGTTCCGTATTAGGTCCACTTCTATTTCTTATATATATTAACGATCTTCCCACGCATGTATGCTCTTCTATTAGCCTATTCGCTGATGACTGTGTAGTTCATAAGGATATCATTAACGACTCTGACATATCTGCTCTTCAGACCAATATTAACAACGTCACTTGCTGGTGCAATAATTGGCTTATGGAACTTAACACTTTTAAATGTAAATCTATGAGAGTGTCCCGTCAAAATAACACTTGTCCCTCCTACTGTATTAATAACTCTACCTTGCTTTTTGTGTCAACCTATAAATATCTCGGTGTTCATATAACTATTGATCTCTCCTGGAACATCCATGTCAAATATATCACAAACAACGCTAATCGCTTATTAGGCTATCTCAGAAGAAACTTTTCCCTTGCCCCTGTTTCACTTAAACTTCTATATAAAACTTTAGTGTGCACCAAACTTGAGTATGCAAGCTCTATCTGGAACCCTGGCATATCCCTAGCATCATCCATTGAATTCATTCAAAATCGCTCCGCACGTTTGATACTTTCTAACTATCACCGTACAGCCAGCGTCACCTCCATGAAAGCGTCTCTACATTTGCCCAACCTCTCCTTTCGTAGAAAAGTAGCTCGCCTCTGCTTATTTCACAAAATTTAGCACTCTAACCCAGCACTTCGAGCCTCATTATTTTCAGAACCATCATACATGTCGCCGCGCACCGATCATCTACTAAAAGTAGGAATCCCCTACTGCATCCCTTCCACCTTTTATGCCTCCTTCCTACCTCTGACCTCCGTCGACTGGAACCGCCTTCCCGCATCCGTAGTCTCACTTACTGACGCTGCTGATTTTAAAACCGCCATAACTGATGTTCTTAGCAATGTTCCATAGCAATTCTGTACCTTGTGTTTTGTTTATTTTTTGTGTTTTATTTTTATTGTTCACCTTATATTGATGTATATAATTCCACTCCTCTCTGTAATGCCTTTAGGCCCTGAGAGTATAATAAATGAAATGAAATGAAAGTGTGTTTAGACATCTGTTAAATGTCTTTGTGTTCAATGGGCTGCGTGATTGGCAAATGAAACGGGCCCTGTCTACATACCTTTTGTCCCATCGCTACATCAAAGGTGTCGTCATCGTTCTGTTTATGCCTCGAGGTTAAACTGCTCGTTTTCCTTATCTTTTCTAGGACATGATGATGGAACAAGGAATGGTACGCACATTCTGCCTGGCTCCCCACGAGGCTGAGCTGGCCATTGTCTTCACGGAGGACTACGTGAGCTACGTCAGACAGCGCGTCAGCCACAGCCTTCTTATTGGCAAGTGCACGACTGTCTACAGCAAGGCCATTTTCTCCCTAAGTGGACTCAAAGAGGCTTGTGTGCAGTGTATCAAAAGCATAGCCCAACCACTCGAACATGGGTAGCCTTTATTTGGCTTCGTCTATCTTATAGTGGTTCTTCTGCCATGCTAGCAGTTCATCTTCAGCAAGTGTTTCCTCTACTGTGCCAGCTTAGAACCACAGAAGTGACATTTTTCGAGACGAGCAGAAAGTAGGAATATCCCTTTGCATTGTTACAGTTGTTTGCTGGTGTGGGCATAACTCAGCAGAAACAGTGTTAATTTGTGTGTCATTGTGGGAAGCATCGCTGTTATCATTGTGGATTTTCGGTGTTTCTGCTGGTTACATACCTTTATCAACCTTGGCCTACCGGAGACTTTCGTATGTGATGTCTCTCGTTGGCAAATGTACGAGTGATCTGTCATATCAGTATTTGAAACAGAAGCTCTCTTGCGAGCATCGTAATACTGCAAAGTTGGCTGCGCCTTTGTCCGAGTTTGTTAAGTATAAACTGCATGCAAGCGATTTGGCGAGTGACAAGACAAGAGACGGCGACCCACTTCGCTGTCGCTTGGTCAGGCGTGCGGCGCAACGGGAGCCAGTGACCAAGATGATGGGCGACATTTTACATAAATCCAAAAGCCAGCAACACGATCTGACAAGCGACAGTGAGAAATCTCTGTCACTCGCTAAGTCTCTTACATGCGGTTCGGCCTTAACTCCGAGACAGTGCTTTAAGAAAGACCTTGCCAGACATTTCTTACTTTTTTTGCTGGTTTCACTGGTGATGGGCCAGGGAAGCAGGAAACACGAGTAACAAAAATTAAAATGTTGCAAAACCATATCCTTCGATGGCACTCACAATTTGCCGCCCGTCCCGTCTCTATCCCTGCGGAGTGCATTGTCTGCTCGCCGTGCCTATCGTGAGACGGTGCCGCAAGAATGATCCCTCAGTTAAGGGGGGACATGGGTCTTTGGAGCCAAAAGCTTCCTAAAACTGCATTCTTTTGAAAATGGCGATGGCTGTCGTTCTTCTGAATCTACCAGGCTTATAATTTCGTGGGTGAATATTTGAGCTATAAATCACTTTATAATATCTACGCGGGCTGAATGAGCATTGAATTTGACTCTAAAACATTGTTTTCACAAAACACAATTTTTCGACTCGTTGAGAATTAGCAGGAAGGATATCTCAGCATCTAGAGCAGATAGAAATATAACCGTTCCTGAAATGTGTAGCTGAACGTGTGAAGCATACAATGTTGAGAGCATAATTTTTGATATAAGTCTAGAAAAATATATATTTGATCTTTTGCTTTATTACCTGTTAGCCATGCATTGAGCAGTGAACTTCAATGTGTGCAAAAATCACTAATAATGAGTTTTTCTTAAAAGCGCTTCCAACATTGTATTCTCTACACTTCATAGTATCTAGCCTTGTGTTAAAAATAATATTTTGTTGTGCAGTTTTTTTTCTATTGTTTTTCCAAACAAAGGCAGGCAAGTTTTATTTATTTTGAGGACAATTCTACTGACTGAGAAAATGACCAGATATATGAAATCAGCACAAAAAGCTGAACAAGCTTGTGCAGTTTCATTAAGTTTGGTCATAAAATAAGAAAAACAGCTCCAAGACCAGTGTTCCCCCTTATCAGAATTGTCTGCATATCTATACACCATTGGCCATGGCGTGGGTGTTGCTCCCAATGTTTACAGGAGAGAAGCTATGCCTCGAAATTTTATAGGGTAAAATGTACCAAGGTGCAACTTCGACAAAAATTCGAGATAGCCGCGTGCAGGTGGATATTTTTCTGGTTGACCTTGTGCAAGCACGGGTGTTGAAAACACTTTATATTTCATTCGCTTCTAGCTCTCAATATGATGCAAATATGGGGAAACGTTCCTTTAACAGTATGTTACAGTGACCCTGACCCTCCTCCTCTCCCCCAGTGAGTTTTGTCACAAACCTGTAAGTAGTCCCGCGAAGGATTGCAGAATCTCTTTAATTTTTATTTAATGTGAAACATTCCTTGGCAAGGTGTTCAGTGTTTTGTGACGCCCAAAAGTGAAGCCTGGATAAAAACGCAACTGCGAGGCTTGACACCGATTGGTTGACGACAGGTGGTAGAGGAACGAGGTGCTCAATGCCGATCAGTTAATGGGCAGGTCATGTGACTAGAGGGGTAAAGAGGAGGAGTGGGTTGAAAAAGTCTGGGAGATCGCCAGGTTTATCATTTCAGGTGTACACGTGCCACGCATTAATTTATCCGAGGAAGAGGGCTGTGAATGTGGGTGTCTGCCTAAACAAGCTAGACGTGCTGCTAAACGATGATATAAAAGTTTGTGATGCAAGAACGCTTGACGTATGCAATGGACTTTCCTAGCGATTTGGGATAGTTACGAACAGGATGAGTGCAGTAGCAAGGAGCTCCTTCAGTTGTCCCACCTCAAGTGTGAGGTTCCTACCTTCTACGAAACCTTAGGATCTCGCGAGGCCCGAGCGTGCGCTCGCAACCAAAACGGCAAAAGGCAGCGGGTGCACACTGAAGGCCGGGTATTTGAAAGAAACACGCCTTGCGTCGTCCGTCCGAGTCGTCGTCGCCGTAGGCTCGTTGCCGGCCGAGATCTTTACGTGTGCCAAGTTTTGTTCCCACGTGCCGAACGAATTTTCATTTCGGTGACGTCAAACCATGCTTTGTGAAGAAGGTTTTGTTTATCGAAGATGCATAGTTCTATGGGCAAGAAGTCTGCGTGCCTCCGGAGTGGGACAATTTTTCTAGTATCACACCTGTCAAGACACGGCACTGTGTGGCGGCACCTCGACTTTGCACCCCGAAGTCACTCTTTCAGGCAGACTTACTTGGACTTTTTTTTTAATTCAAAACTGTGACTTCCTTTTTTTTTTTCAAGTCATTGATTACAGAGTTCTTTATACCCATTTTTACCTCGAGGACTGTAGTAAAAAAGTCCTCGAGGAGTATTTCTAATTTACCCCCTTATGCAAATAAGTAAGATATCCAAAGATGAATTTTAGATTATATATATGTTATCTTATTGAGATGTGCACGTTCCAAATGCCAAAAGCTTCGCTTTTTCCTCAGATAACCAAATCTCATAAAAGCTACTTTGCGCGCCACGTATGGACAATGCGCAAAACTTGCTTTTTCCTCGAGGTGAAAACGGGTACAGTAATTTCCAGATCTGGAAGTTCGCCACAAACCGCGAGGTTGAACTACATATATTCGCCATTCCGTAACAGCAAAGTATATACATATAAATAAGGGTCGCCTAAACCAACATTTTCACGTGCCATCAAAAAGTGACATTACAAGAGAAAGCATTGTTTTCTTCGCTTGCTGATACATTGCGCTACACTTGTAAGAAAATGTGCAGCCCTGTTGGGAGCGGCAGGGGAGCAAACCGAAACTGCACAGGGGCGCGCCCGAGTGTACCTGGGCGTGGCACCGAAAGGCTAACTTTCTCTTTTTTCTCGGCTCGTGTCGCTGCAGAAAGCTTCGTCGACAAAGTGGTGACGCCGCTCTGGGACCTGAGCTACAGCCACGCGTTCCTGACCCGGCAGCTGGAGTTTCAAGAGGCAGACATCAGGTGAATCGCAGTTGCGTTGGGTTACAAAACGTCTCGCGCCGGAAAGGCCGATTCACACACTTGCGACCACTTACCGACCGACAAACCGACTGCTGGGTGTGATGTCTTACCCGGAAGTTTCAGCTGTTTCCTACGTGCCGCTCGTGAGAAAACGCGTTTGGCGCTTTTGACTGCTCAGGTAAGGCTTGCGGAACGCGCGCGCGCGGATATGTTGAGATCTCCATATAATAAGCCACGGCTCCCTCCTCGCACGGAACGCTGCAGGAAGGAGGAACTTTGGCGCTATTTTGAAAGTGCCGTCGTGGCCACTGGGTGCATCAATCTGAAATATAATTTTTATATTCGTAATCTGGAGGCCAAATGAAGACGATTCAAGTTGTTGTTTTTTCTGAACTACAGAACCGCTTCGGTTTTGCTCTCAGCTCCTCGGTTGGTCTACATTTATCCTCGGTTCGTTGCAGAGGCCTCATAATGCGCAGAATTGAGTTTAATTATTTTTAATTTAATGAGTAAACGTCGCTCGGAAGCAGTGCAGCGGACGACTCAATTTCATGCGTTTACAAATCTTTCAATAAACAATCTGGTCCCGATGTCATTTTCTCGGCTACAACCAAGAAGTGTCCAACATAGAAATCAACATTCAGTTATATTGCGTTTTGGTTTATACTCTTAACTTGCTGTGGTCGACCGTTCGATATAGGAAACAAGAGGTAGCTTTAAAGGGATACTTCAACAATATTTGAAATATATTCGTCGTGTTCAGAAATAGGCTGAATATGATCCCCAAGATCAGTAAATGACAATCGCACGTTTGTATTTCGAGCTTGATGGCTGTTTTTATAGTTATAAACTGCCCACTCTGGCAAGCATTTGCAGAGCAGCCAGCGGAGAGCACATCACATCTGGCGCAATCGTGACATAGTCTGTCTCTTGGTGAGCAAAGCTGTGGCGAGGCTGACGTCGTCAGGATGCCCTAGCCATTTCAGCCACCGGAGCGATTGAAGCGCACCAGCGATCGGACCACAGCGCCTAACTGCAAAGCTGCTTGCGAGTGAATTTTGAGTGACGGGTTAATCTACTATAATCTTGTAGAGGGAGAATGGCGACGTCTGGGACACACAAAGGAGAGTCCCGTTGAGTGGGGAGTTCCTCGCTCCTCCCTTCTCTTGTGCTGGCCGTAGAAGTGTCGGGATGACGTCAGGTTCAAAGCATGTATAGTTCTAGGCGAGACAGTTATCGTCACTACCTGTCAAGTTTCCTAGACGGGTATTACAAACGAGGCTTTAGCGACATCTACCGGGTGCTTTTTACTAATCGTTTATTTAAAATTTCTTTTTGTGTCCTTTGTAATGCGATATTGGTGTGTCCGATGTGAACACGTATAGACCAAAAAATAAGCGCTGAAGTTTCATTGTAGTACTATCCCTTTAAGCATCGGGAGTGGAAACAAAAGTATAAAACATTTTTCGATTGCTGCTGTGGTTTCATTCAGATGACTTAAAATGGGAATTGGTTTTCGCTTACATGTGCCAACTGCTAAAAAAAAAAAAAAAGTCAATTTATTTATTACACGTTTCTTTTTGCGCACCCCATTCAACGCAGCGAACTGGTCCGTGCGGGCCTCTTGACACCCCGCAACGAGCCCAGTCGGTGGTGGATCGGCGTCCCAGGGTCCACAGGGTTTGCCAGGACCCTGATTCGCGGACGGACAGCCCTCCTCCAGATGCTCAGGCGGTCCAAACACCACGAGCTTCCACGCACGGAGGTGATATGTTTGTTTTGTTTGTTCTTTTTGGCAGGTGTGACCACAGTGGGGCTATAGTGAAGAGGCACACTTCCTTAACGCCCTCATATGGGGAGTAGTTTCTCCCCGGCACCACAGCTCGACGGGGTCGCTGCAACCTCGGCCCTCCCAAAGGCCTTTTGTAGACATTTTTCGATGCCTTTCGTTTTCAGTCACATGGGTTCCATATCCAGTATGCAAGACGAAAAATAATAAGGCATCTCTAGCTGGAATATGCGAGAAAATGTAGGTCAGGCAAAACGAGAATGTGCGACAATCGTGCATTTTTCGTCAACACTTTTCAGCGGCATGGAGAGATCAAAACAGCGTTTTAACGCTTACCAGGAGTGACGACATTCAATCTGGCTGCGATTCTGTGGAAAAGGTGAATACTGAGAGAGTTTGGCCGATTGGGGGAACCTGCTGCCCTCTAGGACAAGCGGACTTGGCAACGTCACACAACTCTGCGTGTGCTAGTCCAAATTCACTGTTAGAATTTGTTTTAAGAATGCAATTTCTTGTACGCCAGCATCTTGTTACACCTGCATTTCATTGCCAGGTCTAAGCAACAGTAATTTTTTATTGTCCTCCAAACACAAAATTTACAGATAAGCTTTTTTTTTTTTTTTTCTGGCTTAAAACAAAATGATGCTTTTTCACACGAAAAGGAGCCTGGCAATCGAGCGCATGGGTTCGCAGTGCCTCTCCGCTAAATGGCGCCCGTCCCTGCACCGAATTTTGGCGGTGGTTAATTTAAACACAAAGTATCAAAAATTCACGTTTGACAAAAGAGGAATAAATGAAAGATCGTAAGATTTTGAGATATTGCTGCAAATAAGCAAGTTTGAGCTGTTGATAACATATACAGTGCCAGAGACGCTGAAATCAGCGAGACACACTTTTGTTACGGCGACGGGTTGCTGTATTTTTGCCGTGCCCAATTCAGAGTGGGTCCTAAATTCCATACCCCAAGATGGTGTTGCCGAGATCTTGTTTCCCGGTTGCCAGACTCCCAGCTGTGGTTTCCGGACCGTTGGCGCTTTCAAAGGATTGCCAAGCCCTCCCAGTATAGAGGGCTCCAACCCCTCCTACAGCGCCTAAACTCCCTCTAAGGAAGCACCTCACCAGAGGGCCTCTTTGCTCCGCAGTTGAATCGGAGGGATTTCCAGACTACCATATTTACTCGCAGAATTAACACACTTTTTCGCCGAAAAATCGATGCAAAGTTGGGGGGGGGGGTGTTCATTACGCGAAGTAAAATTCTTGCGTCCGTATTTACTCCCATAATGAACGGACCTTTTATCCCAAAAAATCAATGTAACTTCTTATCTCTTTGCCCGCCTTTTGCAAGGCGTTTTGTTCGCCCACGCTGCCCACGCATTCGTGACCTCGCTGCACCAGGATAAAAAAGTGTGTCCATTTCGCACGCGTGGGGAAAGGGTGGGGGGTCAAAATTTTGACTTCCGAGTTTCACCCGCGTTTAATACGCGAGTGAAAAAAAAAGTCGAAATTTCGGGAGCCGACCTGGGGGGTGCATTCATTGTGCGAGTAAATACGGTAGCTAGACTTACAGGCCGTGATGCCAGCTGCCTGCAGAGACTTGCGTGAAACACCTCTTCCTCTTCTTAAAAAGAAAACAAATTTTCTATAAACAAGCTTTCCTTTACGGCGAGCCTAAAATACTTCAGTGGGCATACTTCAGTCGTTTAAGACGAGTACATTGGCAGAGATTTTCAATCTCTGTGATTGGAACGGGTGTCGAGGGTGGCTGAGGCAGTACTAGGAAGGGTAGCATAGGGAGGTACGCAAGAGCAAAGGCCATAAGGAAAGCCACTCACGCCCAGTCGTGGTACGACTTACTTTTTTGGGAAGTCCATAGCTGGAGAGGTTGTATGCCAGTTTATTTTGTGTGGTTGAATGAAATGTACTGAACCAAACATGAACAGACACACATTCTTGGAGGTCTGTTTCGCTCCTCTAGAGTTGGGGAAAGGACATTTCACTTCAACACGACAGATATGGTGCCTGTGACCCATCGTGGGAGTGTTTTGTGGCATATACCAGTCACGTAAATAAGACTTCAAAAACTTCGAAATAAAAATTTCCTTTCTGTAAAGTGCGGAAATTCGAGCCTAATTGTATGTAAAGGGGCCGACAGTCATTTCTTCATTACTGTTTTTATATGAATCAGTGCAATCAACTCATCTTTTTTGTAATTTGTCGTTAATGTTGATAACGCATTGGCCGGGCATACCGACTTGCGGGATTAAAAGTGTAAGTCGCCGCAAAGAGTTAAAAAAGTTTGCGCGAGCACCCACGACCACGGCAGGAAAAAGAAGGGGAAATGCGCATGAGCTAGTGCAGGGGTTGTCGAATCGAAACTTGTTTTATCTGTGGCAATCAATCTCTCGATTGATCGCCGGTCTGGACATTGGTAAAGCAAAGCAACGCAGATGCCTACAAACCTTGTAAAGAGTACTGCGCATGCTACGGAGCGTTTTACACATTGTTGCACATTGAAGGGCAGCTCAGATATTTTTAACATGGTGCTTACACTGGAATCTTACTTAGGGGCAGTGACGGTTCGAGAAATTTGGCAAGCCCAGGGAACCCCTGGATTCTCGGGTGTCCAGTTTGAGAAACCGTGACACGTGTAATAATACTAGTAATCTATAGACAAGGAACCGAATACAATAGACCCTTCTCAAAAGTTCATCAAGCAACTCCGACGGTCGCCACGTTTTGGGCATGATATCCTGCGCGAAGCCTGGTATTGAATTCGAGCTCACTCTGAGCACCGACGGAGCAATCGTGTCGAATACATTTAGACCCAAGTGCGTGTCAAGCAGCGACAAAGTGCCCGCGTCCAATACATGCTTGTAGTGCATGCCCCAAACGTGGCATCCTCGGATGATGCGTGCACCAGTCACTGGGGGGCCCGCACTTTCGGAAAGGGTCTATGCGGAGAGCAAGTCGTATGCTTCTTGCGCAGGAATTGCGGCGACGTCAGAATGATGCCGAGCTCCGATTGGTTTTGATTGAAAGGACAGTGGGTAAACCTTAATGCTAAATGCGTTGATGTCTACCCACTATTTTTTTCAATGGGCCAGTAAGAACTCTGCGTTCGAACATCGTCGCAATCCCTGTGCAAGAAGCAGACAAAGTTGCGCTCCGCAATGGTTACATCAGCTTAGTGAGGCGGAACCGTGCTTGGACGTGCGTGTGGTGTCCGACAAGGCGAGCAGTATAGTACCGTGGCACACGGTCCTGCATAAAGCTATTACAATCCCGCGCGACTAAGTACGCATGAGAGAGTTGTGTGGCACTGAAGTGACATGAAAAACATGAATCGCTCATGGTAATGAAGGCGTCGTTCCCTCGGTCCCCGCTCCACCTCTCTTCTCCGACAAAGGTGGAGAGCTCCCGGCTTCCTCGCAGCACCAAACTGGGCACGGCCTACTACGTCTACGACGCCATCGGAAGCGGCCTGGTCGCCTGCGTCAAGACTACCTCCGGGGACATCCTTAGGCTCAGGGAGTGAGACTGTAGTCTTGGGAACGGTCCTCGGAGACTCGTTCGACCCTCGGAAGTGTCTTCGCGTCGGGGTCTGCCTACCAACGGAGACGTCCTCGGGCCAAGACAGTGAGAATTGTCTTCGAAGACTCATTTAATTTTAGGGAGCCGACGTGGAAAGGCTTCTACCCGCTTCTTGAGACACCTCGAGCCGAGGCGACAAGATCAATCGGCAGAACGGTTCTTGAGGACTTGTACAACTCAAGAGCCGATGGGGGAAGGAGTTCTACCTGCTCCTGGAGGTGTCTCGGGCCGAGATGGTGAATGGTTCTTGAAGACTTGTTTAACCTTGGAGAACTGGCATGGAGGGAGTCCTAACCATTTTTGGAGATGGCATTGGGCCTAAACAGCAACGTTATTCGTCTGGATGGTTTGCAAAGATGTCCTCGACTCGGGAAAGCTTGTGTGCAAGAAGCATTATCACGTGTCCTGAAACGAACCTGGTCGGACAGTGGCCGCTGATCTACGTAATGGTCCTCGGAAGGCTTCCCCAACTTTGGGGGGGGAGGGGGGTCCACGTGGAAGACAGTCTATCCTCTTCTGGCAAAACTGGATCTGATACGTGGAATGGTCCCTGTGGAGCTCGGTGAACACGCTCTCTTCGGGACGGTGTACCTGGTCTACACGTTAAGTCTTGAGGATACCTTCAACTCTGGAGGGTCGGAAAGAAGATATTCCACTCCAGGATACCACCTTGCAAGTTCGGGAACAAGCAATGTGCTTGGGAGATCTCCCAAGGCCATGGGCTTACATGGTGCCCCCATGTAAGCTCTGCGGAAGTGTGACAAACCTTGGCTTCTTTACGTGTTTCACGTGAAACGGGGCTGGTTTTGGGTTCTCGGTCCACATCAAAGAGTCAGCAAAGTGCCATCGTGTTGGCTGTATTCCTAGCAAGCGAGTTGAAACGGCAGACGCTCGAGGACTCTGCCTTGAGTAATGTACAACATCTAAGGTTGCACTGAAGCTTGGGAGCGAGCTGCTGTTGCCCTCAAGCTCGAGCAACAAGTTAGGCACTTGCCTAACCCTAGTGAGAAATGATCTAGAGACTGCTTCAAAGTTTTGGGGAGCATGTTGGAGAGAAGATATATATATATTTTGGGGGAGTGACAGAAACATCTCCTGGTCTAGGGAACAACCTTGAGGTGTCTTACTGGAATATAGTAGTATATGTGTGTGTGTGTGTGTATGGCATATCCAAGTGGCAGCAGTAATAGCATATTTATGCTCCGATACTCTGTAGAAAGGTGTTTGGGCATTGTTTTTCAGCCCTCAATTATCGGGAAGCACATGTGGGCTTCCTAAACGAGCCACCTACGACTTCTTTAGCCTGGAAGTTATTCTGACGTGCTTTTACGACTTGAAGGGCTTAAATATGCGAGGGTATCTGCAGTGGATTTCACAGAACATAGAAGAACTGGAGCATTTGGAACTGGCTTGGGCTAGCAGTGGATGTCCGAACAGCCCCGTCATTGGCGGGCTTGTTGCACTGGAGTGAATGCGACGACAAGTAGAGGAGTTATTTTCGCACAAAATAGGTATGTAAAGCTACTAGACTGCTTTCAGGCATGAAAGATACTAAATTGACCACAAGGCATTGGGGAGATGCAGTAATGTCCATGGCTTTAGGAAGCGTTTGCAGGATTGGGACGACCTAACTCGCGCGAGAAGCTACAAAAAGATTTTGTTTTTTTGTGTGTGCAGTGTGTATAGCAGACCCTAGTTAGCCTTTGTGTAATATAAAAAAAAAAAAAAAAAAAAGAAACCATGGTTACCTCCACCTAGCGAACTTTGCTGAGTCACTCTACGCAAGCTTCGACTGGGAGACGAGACTGATCGGTACGGCGAGTCTCCGTAGGTTATTTTTGTTGTTGTTGTTTTGTTTCTTCGCATATTATTTGGACAAAACGCTCGTCGGAATACCGCGCATGCTTATCCCCCGGCGTGGTACGTCGAATTTCGTGGCATGCCGCTACGGCCCCTGAACAGAACTGCTGTAAATATGATGTGACAAAGCTGTAAATAAACTCTATACTGATAACACACCTTGGCTGCCCACTCATTTTTGCTCCCGCAGGTCTTGGCGTAAACAGGCGGCTTAGTGATACACATTTGTGTCACCGTTACTGCGTGGCGCACGACGAAGGATTGCATTGGTGTGCGTTCCGTACTGACCAAACCTTCGCCCCGTAGCGGAGATGCAACCGTCACGTTTCAACCAAGGGCTGCCCAGCTTAAAGGGGCACTGACACCCCAAAGGTCGTATTTATTTTCATTGTCTAAAACGATGCAAGTTGCAGTCATAGACACGCAAAAAAAACGCATCTCGAAAAAAAATTTTCCCGCGCGCCTTTTTATTTTTGCCGTTTGATTTTCCCGCCTCTCGCCTCCTCGCTTCTTTTGATCGGTGACGTCAAGAATCATGGAATTTAGAAGCTTTGTAGGTGACATCTCTATAACATTTAATTACGGCAATCCTAAAACATGTTTTTTAACGCAATTACGAACGCACTACGGCCCTTCTTTTTGAAATACCAAAAATCGGGAGTTCGTTGTGGTGCCGTCTCCTGGATTTGTATCCTCCAACGGAAAACAGGCGACACCGCTCAAAACCGGTCCGCCGCAACGCCGGCGCCCGCTCCTTTTCTCCTCGCTTTGGGTCGCCATGGCAACAGCAGGGAGTGGTGAAAGGAAGTGGACTCTCAGGACTCCGCAATTTTTGACGTCAAGGCACCGGCGCCGATCGCGCGGGAACTTCGAATTCGGCATTTGGAAATTGTTTTTTTACTTCACAAATACTGAATTCCCAAATTTCAAATTTTGAGGGTAATGTCCCGGCATCGTTTTCAATCGTTTCGGATAATAAAAAAAAAATATGATTTTGATGTGTCAGTGCCCCTTTAAGGCTGGTTTGCGCACTTGCATCTCCTTGCAGCCAGGTGCAGTACGACTAAGGACGTCTCGAACCTGCCGAGGTTCGAGTGGGATTGAGCTCAACTTCCTCAAACCTCTAACGTGAAATTCAACTTAAGTTAGACTTTTGCTCGCATGCGAAAAAATTTGAAACCAAGTTGACACCACCTGGCAGACGACAAGTGCAATATTTGTTGGACGTATTGCATCGTTGGTTTACATTACTAATGAAAGTCAGTAATGATTTTATAGACTAAATTAATTTTTACATTTTCTTTTTGTTTCTCAAGATTCTAAATCTCTTTGTAGAAGCCGGGCAACGTAGTTTAAACGTGGAACTTTGTCGAATTTCGCAAAAGAATCGAAGGTTTGTCGAACCTGATGGTTCGACAAACTTTTGCGACGTCTTACGGCAAGAGACTACGCCGGTGCCATCTGTGAGGTGACACTAGAATTGCATTTCACCGGAGCGAATGTTTTGTTTTAATATTTGCAAGATCAAATGTTTGTACCATCTATGAGATTATGACATTGTAGAGTTTTTTGAACCAACAATAATTAACTAATGTGCAAAAAAAATGTATGGAAATCGCTAGTGCTCTATGGCTGCCCGTCGTAAAAGATCGCAAGATGTAATGCAATGGGTCCTAGGCAGTCTGAGGCAACGAGCCTTTAGACAATCTGTCAAATAACATGACAGTGCAATAGCATGTTTGAGTGACATGCAATGCGACACGTGGCAGAGGAATTGCGAATGTGCAGAGGACTTTTTCATCCTTGCACCTGTTCTCTTGGGAGGCATGGCAGCATTTTTCCTAAAAGGCCTCCACGCCTACTAAAGGGTGTCCCAAGCAGAGCTTCTACCGGAACACGGGCCGGAAAACTTTGTGCCCGCACATAGAGAGCTCGAACTTGCATCAACCGTGCACTGCGCAGGTCTGTTTTATTGCGTAAAATTTCGAGGCTCGGTTCTCTTTCCATAGAAAGGTTGGAGCAAAAAGCCTGCCAAAGTAGAGGTCGGACGCATTTGCAGACGACCAAGTGAGCGACACTATTAACTGGAGACTTCATCTCCCGACAGGCGCGGCGGGCAGACGACGGAGTGCGTCGTCTGCTTGCTGCGCCTACCTCGAGATGGCACCTCGTGTAAACGGCGTCGCTAAATTGGTCGTCTGCAACATGCCCAGCGTTGACGTTGGCAAGATTTCTGCCGCAGTCTTTTTACAAGAAGAGAACCGTGCCTCGAAATTGTGCGCGGTAAGACTGACCTGCACGGTGCACGTTCGGTGAAAGTTAGAGCTTTCTATAGGCAAGCGCCGGTTTTGCCGGCTCGTTTTATGGCAAAAAGTCTGCTCGGAACACCCATAGATTACTCTACGGTACTCGTGTGCAGTTCCTACTCTAGTTTGCAGCCCATTTGTCCAGCAGGAGAGCAGTGAGGGGGAAAGAAATGTTAGTGCACTGCTTACCATTCTGCACGACGCTGCTGGTTGCACGAGCTATGACGTCGAACCAACGGCTGCTCTTCGTTGCCAATACTCTCTCATGGCCTTGCTACGGTGCGACCGACGCCAGCACGAGCAAGCAAGGTTCGTGCAGAGTTTCCGCATAAAGCTGTCGCCTCGTAAATGACTTCATGAACGAGCTACAATCGCAAATCTTCAGTGTTGGGCTTTTACTGATAGGAGTGGTTGAACTGTACTTTTAATAAGGTTTTAAATTAGGGAGGGGGGGGGGAGCCTTATCAAACTGACAGTTGCCTACTTAAGTTATACGAAGACTGCGAGTGTTCCAGGGCAGAGCCGTATATTGAAGAGTTTGGCCAATTTATGATCTCGCCACCATAACATACCCTTCTTGAGCGAGTCAGTCAGCTTGCGACATGGAGTGAGAGGCGCGAGCGCATGCGCGTGAACTCTAGGCTGCTCCCAACTGTGCGGGGAGGACCACCATTTTCGTTCATTCGCCCGGTGGAATGCATGGGATCAACATTTAAATTTCGCTCCATTCCTTTTATTTCGCTGGCTCTGGCAAGAAAATGACAGTGTTATTCCTCGGTGGGTTAAAAAGATAACGAATGAAGTTTTCTCGATGTTTGACTGCAATATTTTGTTCGGGCGAGGAAGAAGTCCCCCCATAGCAGACGACGCAAAGCCTCAACAGTGCTCTGCGCCGGGAGCGTGCTGCGTCAAAATGGCGGTTGTTCCGTCTTTGCTCTCTCCTTCCTCTCTCGCTCCTTCGGCGCTCTTGCCCCTTTCTTTCACTTTTCCCCTCTCCAGCACCTTCGTCGCCACGCCTACTGGCCAGACTCTCCCGATATACGGCTATGTTCCAGGGCTCTTTCATAGATGTCTCCAGCGTGTTCCCTCGGTTCTCTCGTAGCAGGCAGTCTCAAACGATCACAACTCGGTCAGTTGCAGACAAATGCAAACGTCTGAACCTGCCTTAAGGGCTATCCAAGGAGGACGCAGCAAATGGCGTGCTCAGCAAAAAAGGCGCGCACGCCTCCCGAAAAACGTGGACGTTGCGACGCACGCATACGTTTTCAGTGACGACATCAATTGTGCAAGCAGCACGGCTTTCCTCCTCATCTCCTCCCCTTTCTTGCTTTCGGGATGTTGGGGACCGGCAACAATGGCGGAGGCCTCGACGACAAACAGCAGACCTTGCGAGTGGCCGTCTGGACTCACGTGTGATGAGCCCGTTCCAAGTCTTTGAGGACGGAAGTGGAGGGTAGATTTTCCCTTCCGCAAAAAGACGTCCCGAAGTGGATCGGAACTGGAGGAAAACCTTCACTTTCGGTGCACCGAATGCCGTGACTGCAGAAAACGTGTCCCCCCTTGCAAAGGGGGGAGAGAGTGCAAAGAAAGACAAGGCGCAGGGTCTAAAAGCAGACTATTTTACTCCATTTTTCTTCCCCCCTTGAACAAGGAACAGTTTATTGCTGCAGGGCAGGTTTGTCGGGGGGGGGAGGAAGGGGGGAGAGCGGCTACACCCGTAAATCGGGGCTTACCGCCATTGCGCAGCGGTTACTGTTGGCCGCATCAAACGACCTGTGCAGTCCAAAGACTGATTTTCATGCTTTCCCTACTCCAAAAACAAGTAAGGAAAAAATTTTCTTGGGTGCAAGAAGGGGGGGGGGGGGGGGGGTCACTGCAGCTTTTACAAAACCATACTCCAGTTTTCCAGTTTTTGCTTGACTGCAAACTCTCTAGTCACTCTGTCACACAACTGGTCAGACTCGTCGACAGTCGAGATCTTACATATTGGTGAACACCAGAGCCACCGAATAAGCTGCGCTTCAAAGTGACAACACTTTGGCCATCTTGTCGCCGGAAATCATTGTTGCCAGTTATCCTAAGCTTCGTCTGAAATCGCAAAAAAAACGCTTTTCCGCCCTTGGTAAATGTTAAAACGGTCTGCGACGGCAGAACGACATTGCCTGAGCTTCCCCGACACCATGTATGGAGCTCGGGACGTCGCATTTTCAAGTCGTAATTATTGCCGCTTCGGCCCACTCCGCAGTAAGCAACAAAATGGCACTGCCCACAAAACAAGTGAGTGGAACGGAGTGTCGACACTCTAAGCGTGGCTTAGTTAGTGACTAGCGAAAACACGAAGCTCACTTGAATTTTTCTATGACAAACGCAAGAGGTGCCTTTGCAAGGCTGGCCCTGTCTGTGGGTATAGAAGATGCACATCCAAATTTTAAAGAAAATCATTACACGCGGAATTTGTTTCGCAGGTTTTGGAGAAAAACCTTACCTGCAGCATTTTCCTTGCATGCAGATTTTGGAGAAAAAGCTTATGTGCAGCATTTCCCTCACTTGGCTTTGTCATACCAAGGTGATGGCAACAGGTTGATTCTGGTGACATTCGATTATCCTTCACATTACCGCAAGCTTTTCAACGAAAAGTGAGATCAAATTAGCTATATATTGCTTCCAGCTGTTATTCCCTTAGAGTGAAGAGAAAATGTTACGCATCACTAGCCGTCTGCTAGCGGACGACAACACAGCTGTGGTGTTGTCTGCTGTAGTTACCAGACGACAGCAAAGCTGTGTTCTTTAGCCATCACACCGAGAGGGTATAGAAGATGCACATCCAACTATACCCACAGACAGGGCCAGCCTTGCAAAGGCACCTCTTGCGTTTGTCATAGAAAAATTCAAGTGAGTTTTGAAAACAATGGACAAGAATGTAGAGTTGGCATATGAATCATTGATTTTAAAATGTTTAAAAAGTTACAGGCATGACAGAGTGTGAGGAAAACTGTCCCCGACATTTATGCATTCGCAGCCTGTGGGGAAAAAAAAATATGGTTGCCATAGAATCTAGTGTTGTCATTGCCTCGGGTAATGACTAGAGGGGTTGTAACCAGAAAAATACCTAGGGCACTAGAACCCGAGATGATCTGGGGTGAAGGCTGAATCCAATCCATTCCAGATGTGCAGGGAGTGAAGGGCTCAAGGAGGACTTCAATCCACCCAGAGCTGAATTTTGGAACTGGTTCAAGCTGGATTCAGTTGGATTCATCTGGATTAACACTCATTTCCGGCTGCAATCGGTTCCATAATCCAACTTCAGCTCGACTGATTTTTGCCTGTGTGGCCACAAACGTGAATTGGACTGGACTGGCAGACATACAGGAAGTGGAGACGGAGGGGAGGGGGAGGGGGGGGGGGGGGAGGACACCCGTGCCACAAGAAAGAACACTGTAGATGACTAGAACTTTGATTGGTATACTTTTCGCATTTGTTCCCAGAGACACAGCACAACTGTGCTCATGATGAACATCAAAAATTGTTTACGTGTGCTGCTTTCCGAAAGCGAAAACTTCTAAACCGTCCAACACACGAGCACGAGCGTTGGTTCCGGTCGCCTGCACGATCTGGTCTCGAGTTTGGTTCGGATGTTCAAGCACTAAACGACATGAAAAAACACAAGCTGAGAAGGATTACGAATCATACAACTCCAATCTGTAGAAGGGCATAAGTGGAGAAGCTGGTAGTGAAATGAGCCGAGCCGTAAAAGCCCATGCCTGCACTTGTGCTCGGCGACAACTATTAGAGTACTGTGTAGCTTCCGCACAGCTCCGACTACTTGCGCAAGCGCGTGGCTTTATTTAGCACCCCCTTCGCACCAGAGGACGTGCAAATGAGGCGCAAGACAAAAGCTACATGCTCTCTTAGTCGTGTGGGGCTACAGCACTGTGAAAGCTAAGCTAGCCTCAACAATGTAGCACAAAATAGTTGAAACAAAGTACAGAAAGGTTAAAATTTCTGGCAAACGTAGAGTTTGGTGATGGATTTTACCTCGTGAAACTAAAGTTTTTCGCAAGTTACGTTTTTGCGAAAATTTAGAACATCACTGTGACGACAGGCTTGGACGCAGGCCAAATCACTCGAGAGTCTGGCCTCTTGCGCCGTCTCCCGAGAAATGCAGCGAGCAGACAATGGCATTGCCTGCTTTCGACCAAGTGCTTGCCATGCCGGTCGAAAGATGGTACCACAAGCGCGGCTCTCGGGCGCACCTTCGATAAAGCTTTGAGCCCCTTAAGTGCAGGCACCGATTTTTCTGGCTCGTCTAACTGCCAGCTCTTCCGTTTCTGCCACTTTGTATGGAATTTTCTGCGTGAACTTTCCAAGCTCGGTACTAAAATGCCTTACTAAAAAGAACTAGTACAGCAACAATGTTGCAAACCTGGAATATAAACAGAGGGTCTCCGGTTGTGCGCAATTTTCCGAGACGCTCGTAAGTGGAGCTATGTCAACCGCAGCTGCATCAACAACTGCATCGAGCGCAGCTGTATCAGCTGCAGTATCTGTTAGCGTTTCATAACAATTCAGGCTAATGAAAGACCCTGCTTCTCGTAATGTACACAAACGCAAACACGTCGTCACTCGCACGAACGACAAAGAGAATGGTACAAACTCAAAAGCCGACGTAAATTGTGCAACGCGAAGGTGTCTCGACACACACGCTCAGTGAAAACGAAAACTCGTCCGAGATGCTGAGTATGCGCGACGCAACATGTCCCAACAAGACTAGAGGGTGAGAGAGATATGTTCGTACAAACACGGGTTTGATGCGACGCACGTCGGCGCGATAAGAGTACAACTTCGTCTGTCGGACAAGATATGGTCGTGGTGCTCATGAAAGACACCGTGGTCGCCGACGGCCCAAGAACTGCAGGGCGTGGCTTGCGACGTTCGCGCCTCTCACTTTGCCGCTCGTTCTTCAGCGTCGGCCAGTGCAGCCATCTCGCCGGCTGCGGGGCGACTGCGGTACGCCCAGAACTCTGTGCCCTGCATTTCTTGGGCCATCGGCGACTAGACGGTTGTTGCATGCGACCTCTGCCAAACAAAGGAGACAATTCCTAGCCCAGAGTATCGGCAGGAAGACGTGATATGTAAATGCCAACAAGCACGCCTTTAGTTGGACGATGCCGAGCTAGTGTCGAGCGAGTTATTTCAGCCGCTTTATAGAGTAATAGTACAGTCTTTTTGTGCCGGTTCCGCCACATCTGCTCGTTGCACAAAATTTATGTTGTGTCGGTAGTTTAAGGGGGGTATACGAGCTCTCAACTGCAATAGACCGATCTCACCAAGCGTTCAGAGCATGCGTGATGCCGTCATAACTTTAGTTCACAGGAGGCGGGCTGTAGTGCACAAGGGGCTTGTGCCATCTGGTGCTCCTCATGCGCAGAGCTCCAGCGAGGTTGTTGCACGTGCAGAAAGACTAAAGTTCCCTAGATGCATTGCGGCAGCGGTGGCGTAGTCAAACTGGCTGGTGAGATCGGTCTATTTTCTCTTAAAAGTCAACATACAGAATCGTCTTCTGCCCGAACGGAAACAAAGAATTGAGAAGGGTTTCCTCCTCTCTGGCTGCTTTACGGCTTTTGAGGGGAGGGAGGAGGTTGGGAAGAACCAGCTGAACATACTATTACAGGAACATCCATACAGATTAGTGGAAAAAGAGAAATGCGCAAACAACCGCTGGGCTATTAACTGTTTTAATGATAAACTTCTTAACTAGTTTTGTTTTTCTGTTTCTTCTGCTTTATTTGTTTCTGCAACACAAACTGTGTGCCCCCCCCCTCGTATTTCTAATTATTAAAAGGGCTGTAGCCTCGCAGGAATATTTTCTTTCTGTTGTATAGCAAAATTGATGGGGAACTAATGCAATTTTCTTTCTTCTCTCCTATGGCCAGGGCCCCGTGCGAGCTCGTTTCTGTGGCGTCCCAAGACTCTGCATTGCACGTGCATTCACGACAATGGGTGGCTAGGTGTCCTGTTGTCGAGCTTTTAAGATTATTTGCATGTTCCCGTGTTCTTTCGTTGATGCACTGTCCCGTTTCTCCAATGTAGCGACGGCCGCATGTTAAGGGAATGTTGCAGATCACTTCCACATCAGACGGGGCGTATTTCGTCCTATGATTTGTGCCACATACATTTTTCACGTTGCCTCGTGCCTGGTTCGCCCTGCGGCACATAGAATAGGCTATATTCGGTGCCGAGCACACCACTTGTACATCTTATTGGCTTGCAATCTTTTTTAATTTGTGGGTGATACCATGAATACAAGGGACTACTGCAAAAGGTTTTCGTGTTTTTTTCTGTGCTGCGGGGTCATGACCGACTTTTGTCTTTTTGACTTGACAACGACAGGACACTTAGCCGCTTACTGTCGTGAATGCAAGTGCAAGGCCAAGCTCAATCAAGTCACCCCCTAGGACACCACAGAAACAAGCTCGCGCAAGAGATGTTGGAGGCCCTGACCACAGAGGAGAAGAAAGAAAATTGCATTAGTTACCCATCAGTTTTGCTTTATGACAGAAAGAAAATATTCCTGCAAGGCTACAGCCCTTTTAATAATTATAAATACAAGAAGGAGGCAAAGTTGTAAAACAAAAACAAGGAAAAAAAACTAGTTGAGAAAGTTGTTTATCAATAAAAAAGTTGGTAGCCCAGTGGTTGTTCACACATTTTTCTGTCTCTTCTCATCTGTATGAATGTTCCTGTAACTGTATGTTCAGCTGGTTCTTCCCAATGTATAACAAACTAGCTCAGTTCATCCCCGTCTTAAGGGGAGACCTTGGTCTTGATCATTTCTCTGTCGTCTCTCATCTAATTTATATTAAATTCTCACGCCGAGTATAGTTTATTGTGCTAAGCATAAATGTAAGCTCACTGTTTTCCTATCTATTATAGTTTTTGAGAAAATCTCGACTCTATCAGATGTTTTTGCCCAACTTTTCTACAATGCCTCCCTTAACACGGTAGGGACTGCAACAAAACCATTCTTATGATTTTAGCGCCATTCTAAAAAATTAGTAATTCAAGTCTGCCAACTAGAAAGTTTCGTTTTCTAGAGATATTAGTTTCACTGATCACAAAAAAACAAGTTCTCAGGGAACAGGAAAAGCTTTTCAAAATGTGCCTGTAAACAGCCCAAGCCTGAAGCCTTGAATCGATGTAACTATATAAATGTGCGCTTTTCGACTGTAGTAATTAGAAATATGGTGTCTGCCACTTATAAACCGAGAAAAAAAGAATTTGAAAAAAAAACAAATGTTTTCATTTTTTTTTCTTTGGGATTTTTTTTTTTCATTTAAAGAGTTGTTTTTTAAAAAGTATACTCTTATCAGTTTGTAGAACTCCTAAGAGATCCTGTCTGAAAGTGGCATTTCTGTAACTAAAATATTTTTCCCCAAATAAAGTATCTAAAAAATATTATTCCGGCTTGCAATTTGGGTTACTAGTTCAGATGTGGCTACTAATGCATCGAATCAATTTTGAGGCAACTCGGTGACTGTTGAAATTTCGCCAAACTAACCAACTTTTTTAAACGGCGTCAATAACTCGCCAAACACCGATGGGCATCGACCGCCGGCCAATGCTGCTGGCCCAAACAAGAGACGATCCCCGCCTCGGTTTGCGTCAATCGCGGAGCCGCCGTCTTGAACGCGGCTCCCTCGAAAATATTGTTGTGGGAACTTTGAGAGGAAAGACATGTGGGAAACAATGGAAGGCAGGAAAAAGACACACGTGAGGTGCAGAGGGGAAAAAGGTGGCTGTACCACATTTTCCGGCTCATAGGCTGCACCGCCCGGGCTTTCGCGTTTCTACGCCTGCACACGCTCTCTCTACGGGCACAATTCCTCGAAAGAAAGCTTGAGAAACGTCCTCACGGTTGTTGCCAGTTTCCCGAGGCCTTTCTGAAATCACGGGAGAGGCTTTTCCAGTCACCACAAATGTTGAGAAAGTCTGCAATGGAGCAAAAGGGTGTTGCCCGAGATTCTCGACGCAAGTACCTTGGCGGGGCCAAGACCCCGTTGGCAATTGTGCTCGCTCTACACTACGCAACAAAATGGTGGCACACGCGAGATAATCGGGGAGTGTCAATACTCTGACCGTAGCTGATTGAGGGGCTCTACTCCGAGTGTTTCTCGTACAACACAAATGTGGCCGCTTGCCTTTGTTCTTAAAATTGCTATGAAAACTGCCACACGGTGCCCGTGTTCATCGCTCACGTGTCCCGTGCTTAATAGTTTCTATTAGACAACTTCTCGGCCCGATGAACAAACTTAATTTTGTTTTGAGTTGGCATGTGCTGTCTAAAGAGTACACGATAAACAGCATTTTTGAGGGATAAATGAACTTACACAAAACATTTCACAAATGTTTCATGTGTGGCATACCTGCTTACGATCAGTAGGCCTATGTAGAGGAAATCATCAAATATCTGCTGTGTATGTGTAGCCATTCATATGGCAAAGCATAATTTTATTTTGCATCCTATGTAGATGAATTCCTGATACTTCATACAAAATTTGCGGTTTCCTGGAGTCTGAAATAATGAGTCTATTGCATTTGTAAGATTGTGCCTCCGAACCTTAAAAACAGGTGGCGTGGAAAGATGACCCAAATAACCTGGATACTAATCTGGCGCCCATTCGTGCGTGGCCAAGACATCTCTCGTCCGAACAGTCGTGCGCAAGTGCTTTTTGTATGAGGAATTCCGGGGTTGTGTGGCCTATGAGAACCCGAAAACGTGCCACTTTGTGAGCAAACTCCACAGTGGGAACAGCGGAGTCATGAACAATTTTCTTCCTTCACCTGATGCAGAAACACGCGAGAGGTCTGGCTGAGTTTTAAAAGACAAACTCGTAGAAAGGTTTCGACCTTGCGAAGCCAGACGTCCCTTGCATCGTCCAGAACTCGAGCCACAATATGTGCAACGTTGGTACCATGTCGGCACATGCTGGCATTACGTCGGCACACCCTTGCATTCTACTTCGGAACACGCGCAATTAGGGTCAGGAATGAAAGAACCATGCCTCGTCTTTGCAGAGAGAAAATTTTCGTGGCCCTCTGGGAGTTTGGTTGCAAGATTTCGCACCAAAGACGCCCTTTTGAGAAGTTCTTTGTATGATGATTATCTAGGACTGAAGATATACAGTTTGATCTCTCTATACAAATTTGTTAAAAGCTCAGGAGTCTGAGAATAGATTTTGAAGGAACCCTTGATACTAGAAAGATTCCATCTCTTGCGAACAAGGATTGTTTAACACCAACAGCCACCGCCACACTTTTAGACTGTACAATCAACTTACATGCCTGGTACGTTTGACCTCTACGAGTTCTTTGGCGTGGCACACTCACGTGTTGGACGTGAGAAGAACATTATGCCGCCGCCGTATTAAGGTAGCCCTATTAAAGCGTTAACCGAAAATGCTGAGAAAGTTTAAACTTCCGAGGTTAGTTTGAATGAGTCATGGCAGACAACAGGGCGGGCTTTGTCTATTTTCTCCTTGGCAGAGTCAAATAAAGACGAAGTGGGAACAGACGAGCTCAGAGATGGAACGAGTGTCTAGATTTCTGGACGTCTACATTCTAAAAATAGTCGAAATCGTCCTCAAAGACCATCCTCCCGTAAGTGGCGGGAGGAATAAATAGCTGTGTGGCGAGGAGCAAGGACTGGCCCGAGGCCGACTGATTGTTCTACAAAGACGAAGTTTAGAGGTCGCAGGAGGATCAACTCGATTGTGCATTGACGAGTTCTCGAGGATTGAAACGCAAAGGCCGAGAATCTGCGACGACTCTTTGGGCGAGCTCTTCTGTCGGGCAAGGCGGCATTAAGATTAGTCCGTCCTCCGAAGACTGCTTTAAATGCTGCAGCCGAAAGAGATGCAAAGCAGCCGCAGTGTCAGCCTTACAAAATCCAATGAAAGGAACCGCGAGGACTCATTTCCTCAATGAACGGACAAAACATCCTCTCCAATTTCGAGGTACAGCTCTGCGGGAAGCATCCATTCGAAGCTCGGAAAAGCGTGTCAGGTTTTTGTTTTTCGCATTAGACAGAGGGGTACAGTAGTACATTCTTACCAAAGGTCTCGCAGATTCTCGGCGTATTGTGCGCCGAGTCGATGTGCTTGGAGTTACGTCGCGTGCAGAGAACGGCTTGCGGGGAGTGCAGGTCTACGAAGGAACGGCGTGTTCGACGTGCAGCCGCCGCTGAAGCGGCGTTTGTTCCATGCTTTACAAATGTGCATGTTCATGTTACAAATGTGCACGCTATTCACAGACTCGTACCACGTTCGAACGCCGCGGAGCGGCCAGCTACAAAACACCCGCGCGAACGCAAAAGAATCGAAAGCGACTTCTCAACAAATAACGAGCATGTATGCGAAGCACCGCAACAGACTTCACTGCAAAACGACACCCTTGCTAAGCTTTGTTCTGCTAATTCGTCGCTAACTAACCTAACTAGCGGGCTAAAAGCTTTAGACCGTCGACTGGGCTACGGGACATCCTCACGTGACGATGAATGGCTGGACTGGCAATAAACCCCGCAATAAAAACTCCAGCAGCATCTTTTTTTTTTTTTGGCAATGCCACAACCTTTTGCTGGTTGTGACCTGGTGTACCTACAGCGAGTCTAAGCTACCTAGATCGACCTCTGCTGTTGCTCCATTTGATCGCGTGTAGCTGGTTTTGAAGCGGACCAATCAGAAGCTAGACCCCGTTTTCCCAAGACGAGTCAGCGATGAGACGCCGAATCGTCGAAAAAAAGGGTGTTCTCTGTACAAACTTCCATTTTGGCCCCTCTTCTCTATGCTTTGCTTGGACGTGCAATCGACAAGAAAATTTTGGACACGGGAAAACAGGACGCTGGAAGCAGCTTGAAAGCAAAACCAAACGAAACGCCGCAGCACCTGGCACGATTTGAGTCGTCTGCAACCAGCCAAAAAATCGCCGCTGTTGCCAGCACGTTTGCAGCCGTCGCGGAAAGACAGCAAGGAATGGGGCGTGGGCGTCGCGAAAGAATACAAAAGCCGGCGGAATGTCGGAGTCGCATGGGAAAGCAGAAAGAGCCATGAAAGAAACAAACGAAACGAAAGACCTTCAACGCTTCACAAAAAGGCACAGTCGCAGCCGGAGGTTTGAAGATACAAGAAACGGTTTCCACGCCGGGAAAAGCGAAACTCATCCGGCGGAAACCACCGCCTGTCGGAAGCCCAGAAAAACCGCCCGCGATAATTTACCAGAAAGAAGTCCCACGCGTCCCGCCACGCCCGGCGTCGACTTGCCCATGCCACATTGTCGAGGCCAGCGTGGCTTCTACACTGCTCTGCGGCCCCCCGCACTGCTTTGAGAGCACGTGGCTTTGTCTTGTACTCCGTTTGCAAACGTTCCCGTGCAAAGAAGATGCAAAAGAGCCGCACGCTTGCACAAGTAGCTTCGACAGCGAAAGAGCACAGCAGAAATCACGCTAGCCTGGGCGTGGCATGTGAAACTTGCCGCCGAGTGTAGTTAGAGGCAAATGAGCGTTTGCACCACCGGAGAGTACCATGTAGTGGACTCCGCAAGGAGTTTGGGTCCAAGGAACGAGCCCTCCAGCACCGGCGAAAGAGTGGTGTCGTGAATGGCGGTCGGTTGGCAAAAGGGAATGCCTCAATGTGAACAGTTCCTTGCGATCAAATTTATGTGGTACAACTGCTTTGACAAAAAATGAACGCATAGAAATGGAACAAAGGTGCACTTGACAATTTTTTTGTGCATTCGAAATGCAGGTTTAATTGGTGGCACGTGTGTGAAACAATTTTTGAACTTTGACCCTTGTCATTCAGTAGAGCCTCTCTCAATGAAATAGCGATGGCCGATATAAATTCAGTTGCGAGCGAAACTTTGTTATAGTGAAGATTCATTATAGTGAAACTTAATTATGTTAAAATATAATGAAACTTCGTTATATTGAATGTTAATTATAATTAAACCTTATTATAAAGTGAATTATAGTGAAACTTTATTTTAGTGAGATTTTATTATAATGGGCCTTTGCAGTAGTATAAAAATTAAGTGGGGGATATTTATGAAAAGTTTGTTATCAGGAAACCTTCACTATTGTAAAGTTCTATCAAGGCTTTAGTGTAGCCAGTTAATATAATTATATCTTTCAGTGTGGCACAAGCTATTCTGTTTCTTACCCTACCTGCGTGAGCCGAAAGGTTTGCAGCATTTCAAATAAATAAATAAATAAATAAGACCACCGTTCACATCACCACTCTCTCCCAATCCGAGGGCCCAAGTCAAGCGACTTGGCTTGGCTTGGAACGAACCGTCGGCCAAGCGGGGAGGTCAGTATGCGAATGCAGCCAGGTATCGGCTAGCGGCCTGGTGTGCATTGGCCTGCGGTCGAGGCAGCGAGGCAGCAGACGATCTTGGCCGGCCGTCGCCGCAAGCCGTGGCCGTAGCCACGGTCGACGCCGGCTGCAGCCGAGTCGTGGAGTTGACCTGCACCGCGCCGTGTGGTAGTGTGTTGGTGGCGGTGGTGCCAGGCTGCGGGTGCAGGAAGAAGTAGCGCGACACCGTTGACACCATGAACCCTTGGCCCATCAGCATGGCACTGCTGAGGTCTGTGGCAGGAAAGTAAGAAAGGGCACCGCAGGTCGGTCAGGACGGCGTTTCGGGACTCGAGTGCCGCAAAATGCTTTGCACAAATCGTAGCCTTTTATATGGGGAGGGGGAGTTCTCGACGCCAGAGCTGGCCACCACAACTGGGAGAAATAGAACAACAGAACACGGCAGAAAGAGGACAGAGGTTGGTGGTAAGCTCGAGGATCTGCCGGCACTCTCCGAAACTCTCCTCTTTCTCTTCTTTGTTTATTTGCAAAAAAAAGAAAGTTGTCTTTCTTTTTGCAATTACCCTTTCAGTTTTGATCTAGCTTCTTTTCCCAGTTCCTCAGTACATTCTCATACTTCCACAAAGAGGGGACGGGAAGCAGCCAGTCGTTCATAGTTTTGTTTCTCATCCAAAATACAAAAAAGAGAAGAGCAGTAGTTCGCTTTGCGACACCAGTGTGGCGCTTCTTTCGAGATGCTTTCCCTTTCGCCTACCACTCCTCCTACCTCTTTTACCGTGACCTGGTTGTCTATTATCCTAGCGCCAAAAGCACAGGCTTTCCCCTATACAGGAGGCTATGCACAAACACACTAAAAGATGGCGGGACACTGATCATCTCTACTGTAGTAGGCTGGATCGGGAGTATGTTGGTAGCGCCACCAGCGGCCGTTGCTGGACACCAGGCAATGGACGCGAGTCTATAGGTGAAACACGAAAGTAGGAATGTTGAAGCTTCTACGCAGTGTTGGAAGGCGAGTATTTTGTGATGTGCTGCGATCATCATGTCGGGTGTTTGCAGATTGAATCGCTATTTGTCAAGCATTTGAATGCTGCTTGAAAAAATAAAATGTGCCGGAGCACCACTGACTATGCCGGCGTCGCTTGCTTCAATTGCTCAATAAGTGACACATTCTACAAATGAACGAGACGCTCCGAGTTTTAGTTTGTCACAAAAGCCCTCACTGCAGTTCAAAGCAAAAGCTTGCAGCAGAAGTACTTTGTACAAGAGCTTGAAACTATGCAAATGTCACCAGTAAAGGCCTCCTAAATTATCATCTGCTAAGCTCTGATGACTTTGAGATCACGAACGACTCCACACTGACGCTCGGCTACTCTCGTCTCATTAAACCGCATCACCGTTTAGGTGCGCCCAACGAAGTCTCGAGCCTCTACCCTCAACCCTGAAACATGACTGGTATTCTAACGCTTTTGATGTTGGTGCCCAGAATATTAACGGTCGTTCCCAGAAAACACGATAGATGTTTCATCGTGAAGAACATCCTACTAAGGTAAGATATTTCAGTTTTTCCCATTTTTCCCATAGAGTCTCATGCATTAGCTGGTGTCATGCAATGGCTGCCGGTGGTGCCGCCCGACCCCGGCAAGACAAGTCACGATCCGCAATCAGGCCCACTACGTCGAATCTCGTTAATTCAAACTCGAGGGGGATCAAAAATTTGTTTGAATAATGCAAAGTTCGAATTGCCGGGAGTTTCCTACCATAGAGGCGCATAGGATGGGACCTGCATGTTAGTTTGAATTATCCGAAAGTTTGAATTAATAAGAGTCTACCGTACAATAGAGATCAGTGGCGCTGCATTCCCTCGTAGCTGCCTACGACAAGATAACACAGTGGCACACTGGTGCCTCCTGTTGGAACCCTAGACACACTTTCAATCTGCGTGTTGTAGTACCCCAAATCATTGCTTACCCCACCTTTTGGGCAAAACATTGATTTCCAAAAAAACATGGCCATTGCCTACCCCCAGAAATGGTCCGCACACCCCGTGATCCGCGAACATCCATTCTCCTCGAGTGTCGCAGAGCCGTAGGACATACGCGATAAAGAAAAAATGAAGCAGAGAAAGGAACTTTACTTTTTTTGTCCATTCTCCCCGATTCTACCAGAATGTCGGCAAACGTTTGAAGGAAGGAAAAAGCAGAGGGATAACAAAATGAAACTTTGTTTTGTTGATAAACTAAATTCAATTTATTTGCCCCCCCAAAAAAATTCAAAAATCCCTAACACAGGCAGTAAGTTAACCCTGAATCACGGGGTCAGTGAACACCTAATCTCCGGGAATTCGACCGCAGAACATAAGATTAAAGGAGACTGATAGGCGAGGCAAAGGGAATATATAACAGAACCACAGAATGATGATTTCTCTCGTTCATAACTGAAAAAAACTTCGACTACTCTTTTCGTTCTTAGGATTACTTCCGAGCCTGGAACATTGCGGTTTCGAAACGTGCTTTCACAGAACCAACGTTCGCGCCGCGCAAAATTTTGATTGATGTTGCCTGGCGGTGTTCGTCGCAGGTGTGCAAACGACATCCTCCACGACGGGAAAACATTGTTTCCTGGGCTGACTAATTCGAGCTTCGAGTTCAGCACATCTCCCACGTAGCCGTGCTGGATCTGCGCGGCAAGATGGGCGTTCCTTTTGGCCTTTTCTAAACTTCTCCCGCTTACCTGCCGAGATGTCGCCCACCCCACTTTTAAGAATTTTAGGTGGGCAAGACCTCGAGATGCTATGGCGCACGTTTCTACGATTTCTTGTGCATCATTCTTTTGTCACGAGCTCGAAATAATTTTGACAATGTTCCGAGCGACTATTTTTTGCAGATGGCAAGTGTGCAGGTTTGATGTCGCAAACACTGTAAAACCTTCGGCCAAGCTACGTGCGGGTTGGAAATGTTCCCCGATTACGCGACAGTTGGCTCCAGCGTGCCCTTCCGTCGGAAATGAGGGAACACGATGCACTTACCGTTATGTCCCGAGAGATAGCGCACATTTAAGCAAAAGCAAATCGGGTGAAAAAATGGAGTGAGCTAACTCTCGGTGTGCGATCAAAAAAAAGTGTAAAAGAAAGCTAAATTCCGATTTTATGACCTGCGAAACTTGTGATTGCAGGTATGGACCAAAGACGACTGTCCTTCCCAGTCGGCAATGTTCGCGTATCCTCCGCTGTGACTACGTAACACCATTTCTGCTGAGGTCATCATTTGGCCAGGACGTATCGTCCTGGCTGTTGGTGGGGAGAACAAAAAGAAGGATTTGTTTCGTCTTTTTGGTTGGGCCAGGTTGTTGCCACCCTGACGTGCGCAACCTGGGCAGCGGACCGTACTGTTTGATTTTTTGTGTTTTTTTGTGTCCTTTTCTGTCTTTGTGTTCAGACTACCGCAAAATTCAGAGATAATGCCCGCTCATAATTTGAGGATATAAAACTGGGGATGGGCACTCCTTAGGTCAAAGATATGTAAAAATATGTCTTTTGTATATTTTCTGAATGTTACAAAATTGAGGGGTGGGTGCTTATTACGGAATGGGCAGATGCTCGGTATTTTACATCATACTAAAGAGGTAGCTTGTCAGTAAATTTTCCGATAATTCCGAGGCTTGTCCTGTCCCCCTTTTGCCCATCTCGGTTTTTGTTCATAGAACAATGTATGCTGACCAGATAAGCAGAACATTTGGAAAAACGAGGAAAGGGAAGAACTTGTGGTCAGAAACAAACGCGGAGACGGAAAGGGAAACAGCAAATTGAGAAAAGTCAGCAGGGTACGGCAGTGGTGGCCAAAAAGAAATAAAGGATAGGACCTCGCAAAAGCCTCAAAGTAGTGGCCGACTTTTTGCTAAGATACAGCTTCTGCTGGGCACGATCTTGTAGCCAAAGTCAAATTTGGGGGTTATACGTGCCAAACCCACGAAGGGCATCTGGCATGCCCACTGATGCCTATAGTAACAGGCTGGATCGCGGGTTGAGGCTTGTTTTGCTGGGTCAGGCAGCACCACCGGGGGCCATTGCTTGACACCAGCAAATGCATAGAACCCTATGAGAAAAACGTGAAAAAGTGATTTCTCTCATTCATATTGCCGCACGCCAAGTAGGCAGCGCGGCCGTAGCCTAACGGTTATCGCGCTTGCCTCCCACGCGAATGGCCAGGGTTCGATTCCTGGCCACGGCTACACATTTTTGTTTACACTGTAATGTGATGTACTGGTGAATTCGAGAACCGTCTAGCTGATTCGAGGTTAGAATGTTCTACGCGTCGAACCTTCTACATCGAATGCTCCAGAAGCCAACGCGTGTACAAAAGCGGCTCCGCCTGGCAAGCAGGATTCAGTTTCGCCCCAGCGTTCGACTGTGCTGCTACGCCGACTTCGACGCCCGCGACGCTCTGTTATTATCTTTGTACCCTTTTAGTTTTGGCACAAGTTCGCCACATTAAACGTTTATTTCTTTCTGTTTATTTATTGCTCTTTTGGTCACCACCCGTGACAATATTATATTTTGGCTGACCAACTTCAACGAAGATTTCTAGGAATTGTGTTTGTGTTGTAATGTCAATACTTCTTGCACTAAAGATCTAGGGTAAAAAAAACTCTTCTATCCTCCGTCGAGTCCTTCCCCCCTCCTCCCTCCCCCTCCTTCTCCCTTCCCCTTCCCTTCCCTCCCCCCTCCCCCAAGAAAGATAGACAATTCGGTCAGGATGACCTTACTCTTTTACTGTTCGGCTCCATCTCGTTCACAAAGACTCGCGCTCTCGATCCCCCTCGTCTTCTTCATCTTCCATTTGTAACACCATCACCAGCCAGTGGAAGGCATGCCGTCATGTAGGCAGCCAGAAAAGTTTGCTTCTATGTTTACTTTTATGTTTTTATTTACAAAGGATTTAGATAGTGTTTGAGGCATCGCACGGTGCACATGACACCTTGGTTGCGATTGTTTTTGTTTCTATCGCTTCTACTTATAGTTCTGGTCATTAATCTTGAGAAAAGATCGCTGGAAGTCAGTGGAACCCCGCTAAGGTCCATCAATGGTAACAGACGACAGAGATCGGCACAGTGTTTGTGTAATTCAATTAGCTTCTCAACAGTTATTCACAACTGCAAATTCTGGCCTACTTGACCTGCAAAACCTCATAATAGTTTCTTTATAAAATGCATCACAGGATCTTCGAAAAGTTAATTTTTATTCATTCCTCCCATAGACTTGCACGTATTGCCTGGTGTCAAACAATGGCCGCTGGTGGTGCTCCCATCGGGCTACCGATCCGCGATCCAGCCTACTACAAAAGAGATAAGTGAGCATGCCCTAGTGGAGAACTGAGGATTAATTTTGACCACCTTGTTTCTTTGTTTTTTCATGCGACGAAAATTCTGATTCTGCTGCAACTTCTCCGGAACGAACCCCTGTTAGGCAGTGGCACCTTGGCCGGGATTCAAACCAGCTTGCTGGGAATCCGTAGGACGGCGCCTTGCCTTGAAGCGGCAAACAGCACACACTCGTAGTGAAACGCAAGTTCCCACTCCGAGTCTTCCAAAGTATCACTTGCAAGGTCATTACCTAGTATTCTCTAGCATTATTTTTCAAGAAAATGCTGGTGACATGCATTGTATCCAGGAAGAGTAAAACTAAGAAGTAAATGAACAATTGCTTCTTGTGGCAAAACAAACGAACCTAACAGGGTGCCTTCTGTTGTCTTCCTCTTTCTCTTTTACTTCAAAAAGAAAAACATTGGCAGCATGCACTGCATCAAGAAAAACTAACACAGAAAAGCAACTGGACAACTTCAATGTGCAACAGTAAAACAAACACACTCAACAGTGCGCCTGCTCTCGTCTTCCACTAATCTGTTATTCTGTTATCGTTTTATTCCCTCTTTTCTCAATCTTTCTCGTCCTATCCCCTTTAATTCTCATTCTATCTCCCGTTTTCCCTACTCTAATTTCTCTGTCTCATTCCATTTCCTCTCTTCCTTATTCTATCTTTTTCCTTGTTCCATCTGCTTTCCTTCTCTTCTTCATTCTATCTCGTCTCACTCTTGGTCCATCTCCTCTTTCGTGTTCTATCCCATTTTCTTCTCTTTGTTCCTTATTCTGCCTTCTCTTTCTTATCCTATCTCTTCTTTCTTCTTCCACCCCCTTTCATTCACATGCTACCTATCTCATCTCTCCCTCATTCTATGCTCCCTTTCTCATTCCATCCCCTCCTTCTCAATCCACTTTTTCTTTGTCGTTCCATCCCCTCTTTGTCGCCCTATCCCATTTTCTCCTTTTTCGTTCCACCTCGTCCCTTTTTTTGTTTATCTTCTCTCTCTCCTTCCCCATCCCTTTCCTTCTCATCCTATCTCCTCTTTCTCGTTCTATCCCCTTCCTTTCTCATTCTATCTCTTCTTGCATTCCGTTTCCTTTCCTTCTCATCCTACTTTCTCTCTCTCACTCTAACCCTTCTTTCATTCCATGCATTTTCTCTCTCGTTCTACGTCCTCTTTCTCTTCCCACCAACTCTGTTACCCCCCTCAAAAAAGAGGCGGGAGGGGGACTCACAGACGCCCGTGACGACGGAGGCCACGGGGGGCACGCAGGGCAGCACGCCCGTGAGCCCGGCGGCCTTGAAGGCCACCAGTTGCAGCCGGGTCAGGGTGAAGTGCAGGTGGAGCAGGGTGAACTTGCGCCGCAGCAGCAGCTGCTGGGGCAGCGGCCGCGAGGCCAGCTTCACAAAGATCACAAAGCCGTACGTGCCCAGCAGGAACGAGCCCGCCTGCAGCAGCATCAGGTACGGCGACGCATTCGTCGCCTCCATCTGTGCCGGGGGGGGGGGGGGGGTGCCACCTGAGGCCAAGACGCACGTGGCGCGCCGGAGAAACGCCCAACTCCGCACGAGCTTACTAATCCTAGAAGCCTGACTTGGGCCTAATACAGACTTGTTCTGGGCAGTTAGTGCCAGAACCCTTTTCCTTGGCATTTTTACGGCTCTTTGGCTCGCCACATAATCGTCAGAGTGCCAGACTTGAGCCAAAGAAGCCACGTATGAACTGAAGAACCTGCAGCGAAGTCCAAAACTCGGCACTTCTTTGACAACTTAGGCCAGACGTTGTCGCATGAAAACCGAATTAAAAGTTAAGCAATTCTGGCATTCATTTGGCAATTTAGGCCCAAAGATGCCAGACGAATGCCAAACTACTAGCAGTGAAGTCTAACTTTAGCACTTTTTTGGTGAATTATACATCCAGACTCTGGTCAAAGAGGTCATGTTTACCCCTACCTTGGTTTCTCCGGGCTTTGTAAGTCCCTAATCCCCAGACGAAAACCTAATTTTGGCCCCCAAAGAACTGAGCTACCAAATATACAGGGTGCTTTTTTTTAGGCTTTACAGATTTGTTTTAAAAAAGCTGCACAACATAGACTAATGTGGTCTTTGTAAACGAGTTGCATGGCCAGGCAGACTAATCATCACGATGAGTCAGATAATTAACTAAAATTTGTTCACTCATTCTTTTTTAATAGGTAAAGATAAACATATGGCTCTAACTAGAAACTTGCGGAGCATCATTGAAAATGACTAAATCAGTTAACTATACTATTGAAAGCTTTGGAGCGCACGGGAAGTGCATCGTGGTTACATTTGGAAATACCCTTTTTTTTTCTGTACAGTAGACGTACGAGTGGGCAACTTGCCGTATACAGGGCAATCTCAATAATTTAAACCCTCTTATTTCAAACTCACAAATAACTAACACGCAGGTCTCATACGAGTCCCATGACTAAAAACCATTTAAACTCCACATTATTCAAACAACTTTTCGGTCCCCCTCGAATTTGATTTAACGAGATTCCACTGCAATTTAATTTGGCATACTTTGGGCAACAACATTTAACCAGCGTTTAAAAATAATCAACGAAGGCACTTGATATTTGAAGATGTTTGGAACAATATTCATTTTTACTTTCACCTGACTAGCAGCACAGCTTTTCTTTCTGCCTCACTGAAAAGCCTCACCCACCTCCGTCCTGTCTTCTACACTGAGAATTATGGCCACCCTTCTTTTTGCCGCACTAGGAAACCGTTGAAAACTACCCTCCCCCTCAACTGTTGAAAACATACATGCTGTTTTCAAACATTAAAAGGCCCTCTCCCGCCTGAAAATAGTGATCGTAGATCTTCGCGCTTTGTGCAATTTTACATACTTTTAATTACCTTGCCAAATTATTAAACTAAAATAACCAAGATTTCGTTAGGAAATTAACTCAAGAAGCTCAAATTCTGATAGACACATTTTAGTTTCACCGCTCGACAAAATCCGCGACCTAACAGGATGCCTACCACAGCCACCAATCTAAATGTCCCGCCTTTTGCGGTTAACCTCCTGATCAACATTGAGCCACTCTCGGACCCTCCGTCCCGCCAATAGGCGGAACTGCGGGAAGGGAAGCAACGTATAGAAGACGAGGAGGACAGAGGAAGAACCGTCCTAAGGAGACGGCATCCTGATTCTGTTACCTCAAGGCTCGTCGATCGAACGAGTTGCAATACGGGAATTTCCAGAGGCATTTCGCATGCCTCATTCTTCAAATCGCGAGCCTAAATTTCGGGGACACTTCCACGAGGAGGTTCTGGTACCTGTTACAAAGTTTCTATATGAAACTAACAGCCCCCATTTTCGGCTGGAGAAACCTTTTAACCATATTGCGCGAGATTTAAAAAATAATTCCAAACGACTATGGCACTAACATTGCAATTCACCAGAACAATTTTTTTCCCAAGGTTTCAATTTCGAGGGATTCCATATGCCTTGACCGATAACCAAACGATGTGTCGACATTGATGCAGCAAAGCAGATCAGGAGCCCACAGAGCTTGTAAACAATAATTAACCTACCCAGGGAGTGTCTGGCTTATAGTTATGCATTGACGGGTGGCTTAGATCCGCTAAAATAGTGCATATTAAACCGGAAAAACATTTAACTCGGGGACGGGGACGGTAAAAACAAAAATGGGAAGACAGAGAAACCACGAGGGCACTCTGAAAAACCCCTGTACTTGAAGGAGTTCCATTTGAGAACTCACGTGCTGATGGGCAGTCACATGGTATTTTTTTTTTAAATCTCGAGCGATAGCGAAAATTAGACGCACGAAGGCTACCTTGATAAATAGGACAGAATGTTTCTCAACACACTCAACAACTTTTACATTGAAGGGTTTGTGAACTAGTTAACATTTAAGGCACTAGCTCATGATTCTATGTTAACTAAACAATTTCATGCGTCACAAAAAAATAAAAATAATTAACACCTTTAACTTGTTCAATGGGACTGTCAACAATTTGTGATTCCAGCAAAACTTGGCGGGAAAACAGTGAAGCAGTCAAAACAGGTCCTTTCGCAACTTCTGCTCGTCCCTTGCGGCTTCCGTGACTGCATGTTGCGGTTCACGCGATGCAACAGTTGGCTGCGAATTTGTCAACCTTGTCGTATCAGCGTGTAGCCCAGGACACCCTGAACGTAACCTATGCAGCTGCGTGAACCAGGTGTTAGGTGTTCATCAACGTTCATTGGCGCTGTAAAAGGACAGTAGGCAGTCCTTCCATCGCTTCCTGGAAGAGGGCTAAGCCTCTGGAGGCACACTTATGCCAGCACAACCGCCGCAGGTTTGAAACGTCGCATACAAATATTGGGGCAAAAAATTTTGAAGCAAATGCGTGCCTTGCTGAACTTTAGCACTGTGTGTGGAGCTGGCGCATGACATGACCTGACCTGTTTTTGGCTGCCATATTTTGTCTAAAGTGACGACACCTATGGGTTGCTGGAGTTGCAAATACTGCGTCGGTTCGACACGCATAGCTTGCACCAGCCTTCTTCAAGTCCCGGCACAAGTCAGCCAAGTTAGCTGAGACACCCTGTACATTGCTGCCGTCAATTTTTCAGATAAATTGAGAATGAATCCCGTTTTCGTCTATCTGTGCGAGTGTGGCTGGCTTTCAATGGGTCGCCAATGGCAACACCTTAGCCGCCTTCCGAAAATTGACCGCCCCTCAAATTTTGCTTGTCGGTAAGTCCACCTCTGGACGCGACACGAAGCTGCAGTTGAGACTCGCCAACCGGGACACCGTCCAAAGGCTGGTCAGAATGAATTCGTCGACCGAATGCTTCGACGCAATGTCGGGAAAACGACGAGACAAAGTTGCGTTTCTTATGGGGGCGAGGATGATCGACCGTATTTTTAAACGCATAGCATCTATGAGCCTAGCCCAGGGGTGGCCAAGCTGCGGCTCGGGAGCCGCATGCGGCTCTTTGCGTGTTAAAGTGCGGCTCGCGGCCCCCTCCCCTACACCCCCCCCCCGGCCACCCTCCCAGCCACACGAGCAATTCCCCCAACTGAGAAATGAAACGCGTTTTAAATCGAAAGACAGGCTGCGGTTTGGTAGTCTGGTGCGACTGCTACCTTACGTATAGTTTGACTGCTTTTGACTTGGGTAGATTGAAAGTACTTCGAGTTTCGTTTATCGCTCTGGAAAAGATTGCCCCCCCCCCCCCCCTGCGGCTCTTGGAAGCTTCGTGGTTTTGTTTGCGGCTCTTAGGCCGGCTCAGCCTGGCCACCCCTGGCCTAGCCCATAGCACTTTTCGTATCTGCACCCGGCATGTAGCTCTGATGGAAAAGAGCTTGCAGTTGCCACTTCCGCGTTTCACGTGCAATCGGCAACAGCTCTCAGATTGGAGGCTTCCCACGGCGAGCGCTCAACAGCATTGAAACGCACTATAAAAGCCCTTGCTTGCGGGTTTTGTGCACCGCCAAAGGTGCAAAGAAAACAAGGCAGAGGGAGATGAGCGAGAGATGCAATTCTGAAACAAGAGCGATGGGCTCAGTGGCGACAGGAAACCAGCCACCCTCGCATGACGACCGACCGGCAGTTTGAGCATGAGTTCGGAGACAATCCGACCGTCCGTGAGGTGGCACTTTCTTGGTAAGGACACATTAACACAGAAGCAGACGTTTTAATGCTGAATGCACTTTAGGGCAAGTTTCCAAGTCTTTATTCGCCGGCAGAATGAAAACGACAGGGCGCGGCTTTCGAATGCCAGGCCTCCAGCACGCGTTTGACACCTTCCACTGTGCTTTGGCTGTGCACACGCGCTCTGCCGTGCCTTCAACTGTCTCTGGCTGCGCACAAGCGCTGCATGCCTTCTACTGTCTTTGGCTGCACACGTGCACTCCCTGCCTTTCACTGTGCTTTGGCTTCGCGTGTGCTCTCCATGCCTTCCACTGTGCTTTGGATGTGCAAGCTTCATACCTTCCACTGTGCTTCGGCTGCATGTGCACTCTCCATGCCCTCCCTTGTGCTTCCGCTGTGCATATTCCATGCCTTTTATTGTGCTTTATCTGCGCATTCTCCATGCCGTTTACTGTGCTTTGGCTGCACGCATGCCATTCATGCCCTTCACTGCGCTTTGGCTGTGTGCATGCCCTCCACGACTTCCACTGTGCTTCAGCTGCGAACACACTCTCCATGCTTTCCACTGTGCTTCTTCTGTGCATGTGCACTCCCTGCCTTCCACTAAGCTTTAGCTGCACGTGCACGCGCTCGAGGTGCACGACATGTTGAAACATCGTTGAAAAAAGGAACCTTGTGTTAGAGGCAGGGCAACTGAGGCTGCTCCCTGCTGCTCTCACCTCATTGATGAATATAATGTAGCACGTAAAGAGGGGTGGAACAAGCCCCCGACTCACCTTGTCCCCTTCGTGAATTCCGGTGAGTGTACAGATGAAGATGATGGTGACCAGTATGAGGGGAATGAAGAACAGCTGATACACCACCACCCGGAGCACTCGATACCTCCGTCTGCAACCACGGGGGGGAGGAGGACAATGCACAAGATGGCAAGGTGGTTACAGGCAATGTAAAGGGCTTCTGAAAAAAAAAAATATTCTTGGTTCCTTGTTGTATCTTGCAAATGAACCGCGGTGACAGCCAGGATGCTGCACAAGTTACAGCGTCGTGTTTAGTTAAAACTAAATACCAAAAAATGCAAGTTTTTTTTGTTAGAAAACGTGATATTTCATTATATGCTCTTACTTTGTTCACATTGACTTCGTAAAGTCGGAATCCTGTTACAGGTACGTTGGCATTCATCTGCCATCAAACCTACCTTGGCAGCACCACATAAAATCAATAGCTGCTGATGCATAACGCATACTTGGTTACATTAAGCGAAGCTATAAATAGATCCTCCCCACCCCCATGTATACGAAAACTACTAGCATACAAAACATATGTAGGACCCAAATTATAATTGGCATCTTCTATCTGGAGTCCATCACAGGCAGGCATATAGCCAGGATTTTGTTTCAGGGGGGGACAGCCCATGACAAAATGCTGTATGAGGGAGAGGGGGGAGAGGACGTCCCAGCAAAATCAAAGATTTTGGGGGGGGGGGGCCCGGGCCCCATGGGCCGCCCCCCTGGCTACGTGTCTGATCACAGGCATACCTAACAACTCATTTAGAGGCAATTCAAAAAAGGGCAGCCCGTTTCATAACATCATTGTACGCATGTAACATCAGCGTCTTGGCCACCGAGTCCTGTCTCTAAATCCCTTCTCTGGAATCTCGGTGAATCATTGACGGAAACTATCGTTTCAGTCACTTATCCCGTCTGTTACGCCAAAGGGTCACTAACAACATGATTTGACATTTATTTTAATGCTTTTATTTGTATGTCTCGCTTTTATATGTATGTCCATGCTTTCATATGTATGTCTCATTTCCTCTTTTTATCACGCACCTATGTAATGCCTTTGGGCCTTTCAGGTAAACTTAAATAAATTTTGCAGACGTTATTCACGTGACATGACATCACGTGACACTACTATTGACACACAGTTTGGTCATGAATGCCGGAGGCCAGCGTTCGAACAGCGAGCAGAGATAAAGACGGCTAGCTTTGCGTCTACGCACTGACCGTTCAGACTAGAGCTCGGCGCTCTGATGTCCCTGTGCACTCTCTTCTCCTCTCCCTCTGTTTCTATCCATATATAGGGTGTATCAAATAGCGGCCAGGCTCTTTGAATTGACTGCAAAAATCGGTTTCTTAACTTAACACGCTACGATTTTGTGCAGCATTGTCTACGGGTGGTGCATTTTTTTCTACAAAATTTGCAAAGAGCGAACTTACCCGAGGGAAAAGTAAAAAAAGAAAAAGGCTTAACTCATATGGAAACACAGCGAAGCCATCGGTCTTCAAACAATAGGGCGCTGTTTGGCACGGAAGACAAGAGATGGCGCAGGCGGTTGCAAAGCCAATTGCCGCCAACAAACGAGCACATGGCACCGAAAGCTGGCGTCATTAGCAGACAATCTGTTTGACTCAAAAGCAGCGAGAGCTTTTTGAATGTCAGTTGCCAATGCATGATTTTACCATCCTTACTAATAAAATGCAATGAATGGACACATAATCGATTAAAAAAATGGTTTGTCGGGTTATTTTGACAGTTTTTCTCGGGGTACTTATGTCGTCTGATTTGCAAGAGTTATCGCTGCCTGCAGAATGTGCACCACTTTTGAGTCGAAAAGATTGTCTGCTAACGAAGCCAGCTCTCGACGCTGTGTGCTCGTTCGTTGGCGGCAGTTGGCGTCTCGACCGCATGCACCATCTCTCGTCTCCCGTGCGAAGCTGTGCCCTACTGTTTGAAGACCGGTGGCTTCGCAGCGTTTCCTTAGGAGATAAGCCTTTTTCTTTTTTTACCTTTTCCTCAGGCAAGTTTGCTCTTTGTAAATTTTATAGAAAAAATGCACCACCCGTAAACAACGCTGCACAAAATCGTAGTGCGTTAGGTTAAAGAAACCAATTTTCGCAGTCGATTTAAAGAGCCAGGCCGCTATTTGAGACACCTATAATAAATGCCAAAAAACCTAGGCGTGATTTTGTTTAGTTAACAGCCTTCATTGATTCATTATATCTGACCATGTTCCAAAAACAATTTTTTTTTTTTTTTTTGGTATTTCATTTTATTATTTATAACAGTCCAGCCCTGCAAGCTGTTCCTGGAACTAAAAATCAATAACTGAGATGAGATCCCAATGGAGGTCACCCAAAGCTGGAGGGCAAAAGAGAGAGAGTGAGAAAGGAAAGTGAGAGAAAGAAAAAGAGAGGAAAGAAAGTCTGAGGAAGAATGAGTCTGAGAGATAGAAAGAGAGAATTTAAAAGAAATGCAGTGTATGAGATAGAAAAGAGAGAGAGAGAGAGGGTGTGCTCACTTGGAGAAGGAGGGCGAGGGGCAGCACCAGAGGATGCAGCAGATGGGCGGTCCCCGCAGCGGCATCTCCTCGTTGATGAGCCGCTGCACAAGCTGCTCCGAGCCCCCGGCGTAGCAGCCAATCAGCTCAAAGTACATCACCAGCGAAAATGGAAGGTACCTTGGCAGAGGAGGCAGAGGCACAAAGGTTACTCTCCAGCCTTCCGTGCTTGGCCCATGATGCACGGCAAAACGTTGACGGGCAGAAACCGGTCCTGTTATACAGAATCAGGTCGGGACGTGGGTTCGAATTTCGGGGGGTGGCAGGCACATACATGCAGACAAACACACAACAGACATATCCACATACTACATGGAATGTTTTTTAAACATCAGAGATTTCTTTTAAAAAAAGCCATTAAAGCTACACTAATGCGGTCTGTGTTATGCGCGTTATGCGACCTGAGGGACATCATGTTGGCGGCTAATCGTCACAGTAGGTCGGTCAATCCACTCAAATTTGTTAGTTAACTTTCTACTTAGTAAATGTAAAGATATTGTCTCAATTAGAAACTTCCCGAGCGTCGTCAAAAACTACTTGGAGATTGTGATCACCAAGTTAGCCTCAGCAAAGACAAGCAAAGGCATACTCCATGTTGGAGCTCTTCATTGAGCGCCTCTTGTATGTCACTTTAGCACCCATTATGAATTCTTAAAGGGGCACTGACGGGGTATTTATGTTTGCAAAGGTTTTTATTTGTACATAACGCGTGGGAACTTAACTACCCAGAGCACAATTAGTGGCTCAAAATTTGTCTTCTTTCCACCCAAAAATTGCCGATTGAGAACTCGCCGGTTTGAGTACTACCGCTCATTCTCTTCTCTGTGGTCATATGACATTCTCTACGGTTTAAACACACACACCAAATACAATCAAAGTCGTGGGTCATCAATGGCACACACTCAATATTAAAAATAGGGAAAAAACATGATACCCATTTTTGTTGCTTCTAAAAAGCTGCAAAAATACATTAATTAAAAAAAGAGTTGCACAAAGAATCCGAAGCACTTTGTGCATTATGTGTGTAATTCTCAACATGGCACCGTATTGCAAGAGTTGCAGGCTGGACGGCTGAACGAAGCAGACTAAGCGATGGCGGCAGATGATGGGGATGGAACCTCTACTTCAGAACTATTGTTTGCGGTACCGGCGAATCTGTCTAGCTTCGATAGAAATATTGTTTACACATTAAAACAATTAAGGTTCATTCCACACGACACGCCCGACTGCCAAGTTGACTCGCACAAAGACATCGCCGAGTCGTCGCACCTTCGCCTAGCTGAAGACATCGCTTGTCTAATGAACATGAATTGGTAAGAGTTTAAAAAACATGCAAATGCCAAGCACAAAGTGCTTAACTTTTGCATTCTTCGTGGGACACGCGCGTTTTTTGTCTGCTTCGCACAGCTGGGGAAGCAGAGAAAAACATTAATAAAACACGGTTGGGTGTAGCCATGTGACTTCCAGCAACTTTCTCCCCCATTGCTTCTTCCTCCCCAGTCCAGTTTCAGTTTCCAGCAGTTGCATTATTTTACTTTAATAAAGATATATGTGACGCCATAACAAAATATTGATAGGGTAGTCTTGTGACACCATACTAAATCGCATACAAAAAAAAAAAAAAAAAAAATTCTGGGGTGTGTGTCAGTGTATTCTTAAGCTCGTCCAAGTGGGCACAAAAGGGATCTGTTCCTCTTTGGTTCCCGAACGCAAAGAGGGACAGCTACCAAGTTTTAGCCTCGCTGAAACGTGCCTCACCTCGCAAGTTACCTGTACTCCATCACATTAGCAATTTGAGCAACCGGAACCACGACCCCTAGACGCCTCTGGTCTAGCAACTCTGCCGTGTTTTGCCCCGCTAAATACTTCTGTCACGTATGTCGCACCTCGCGGAAGGGGAAAGAAAGCCTTCGTGAGCCAAATAGTCCCAAGGGCAAAACTTGTCAATCTGTATTCAAGCTTGATTCACGATAGCTTAAACACATACTGCTCAAGCATTTAAACAAAAAGATGTGTTGATACTAGCATTCAAAACACTCCTCCCCGCGACAGACGGCACAGCCAGCCCCTCGCACGTCGACGGCCTCGGATTCCCTTTTGACGACATCGGCGTAGGTGCCAGATGTTATCGCCAAATATCTTGAATCACTGGGAAGTCTGCGGCACCGTCTTGAATGCTCTACGAGATTTTTAGGCGAGCACAGACGCCTCTCTAGTCCTGGTCGTCTCCTCGCTCGATCAGACCGGCTCCCCCCAGCGCTACAGCGCACGAAACACATCTCTTGACCGGTCTGTCTGGCATTCTTTTCCACCCATGTGTCGAGAGGAGTCCCAAGGCGGCAACAAAGTATGTCGCAGGAAAGCCGACGAGTCATGCCGTCAGATGCCACTATCTTGGCGGTTAACACTGTGACGGCAAGCATCGCTGCCGTCGCAGCGTCAAGTCCCTGATTCCGAAGTTCCCTCAACTGCCAAGCTGGAGAGCAACTAACAGGAGGTCGGACGTCCGCTGTGTCCACCCCTGCGGTCTTGCCACCACCGGAACGGAGGCAGGCAACAGCTCGACACGAGTATGACGTCGCCGAGCAGAAATCGAGAGACCACAAACGAAGACGCGGTAAACCCACCGGCCGGAGTCGCCTTCCGGGCAGCGTGCTATACTTCGTTGCGTTGTAACTTGGCAGAAAGCCGACGCCTAGGCCTCGTCAAATCGATCGGAGCAACGGAGACAAGCGTGTGACAGTCCTAACCAAAGGAACGCCGGTGATGGCGTAACCCAAGCAGTTGGAAAAGAGGGAAGGAGGAGCTCCACTCTTACCCGGACCCTGTTCTGTGTGTTCCAGACACTGGTATCATCCCCTAGAACAGTGCTTCTCAAATGGGAGTCTGCGAAGGCATTCTAGGTGTCTGCAAAGCCCTGCCTCATCAGTCAAGCCCGGCAATGAAAGTTGTCTTTTTCCACATTGAGATGGAATGTTCTGATTTTCGGGCGATTTCTCTCAGGCGTATGTCAATGAGAGAAGTTTGCTTCGCACCAGCCCCAAGTTATATCTATTTAATCATGCGAAAGCATTAACTGTGTCATGGAGCGAGCTGACGTCATCAGTTGGAAGCGCGAAAACGGCAGATAGTATCCGCGTGCCTTCCGTTCCATTGGCTGGCGCGCGTCGACAGGGCTCCCATTGGCCGCTGCGCCATCGTCTCCGAGATCCCGAAGAGCGCGCGCGCTAGTACGCAGCAGACGACAAAGGGAGCGGACGAGCAGACGACTAAGGGGAGCGGACGAGCGGCTTGCATGCTTTCGCATTCACAACTTGTAAGACATGCTTAGGTGTACCTCGAGCTTTTTTAAATCATTACCATGACTAACCTATACTTTCCCTTCCCCTCATCACGAATGGGCTCCACTGTCATCTACGCAGACCCACAAGAGGTCCGCGAAACAGTGAGGGTTGAGCACCACTGTCCCAGAAAATAGCCTGCCACAGGGAGTTCATACAAACACGGCCTTCCACTCTCTCCTGCTTGTGGTTTTAGGCAGCACTGCACGGATAGTGTGGTCATGGGTCTTCCTTCGACGCGTATATTGGCTCGAGGGGGCCGTGCATTTGCTCCGCCAAGTTACGGTGGGACGGAGTGTGGCGTCCCACCGTAACTTTCGGCTTTTCCCCGAGGAAAGGGACGTCTCCCGCAGCGCAAGGGAAAGTTTCTGGACCAGTTAGGAAACGCCTGAGAACTGCGCCAGAGCCAAGGAAGCCTCTAACAGGAACGTCAGTCTGCCATGCAGTGCGTCGCCGACGCCGGTCTACTCACAGCATGATAATAGAAGATGTGGCGTCGTGGACCCTAGGGAACACGGTAGCCACTAAGGCACAGACCGAGGTTACCTGGTGGGCAGCGCCGAGGCAGCACGGGGAAGGAAGGAGAGGAGGAAAGAAAGAGAGTGAGCAGTCACGAAAGAGAGGCACACGCGAGTCAAAGAAGGCAGGGAGAAAGAGCAACAGGATTGGTAGAAAAGATGAACGACATTGCAGCTAGAGATGTAGACCCAAGGAAAAGACATAGGAAAAAAAAAACTAAGGAAGTTGAGTTTTTTTTTTTCCTCCTTTAAAACAACGTAAAGGAAATAGGAAACATTCTTGCTTTACCAGCCTCGTGTTTTACTGCCTGCCGATGTCCAGTTGACATGCCAATGCCTTATTCTACTGGTATTGTGCCAAAATCTCCCTCCACTTTAGTGGCCTTATGTTTTAGTGCCTGCCGACGTTTTGTAGACATGCCACAATGCCTTGCCGATGTCCTACCAGCATCCTGCCAAAGTTTTCCCCGCTTCACCAACGACATTTTTTACTGCCTGCCAATGACCTGCCACCGTGCCAATACCCTACCAATTACCTACCGGCATCCTGCCAACGTCTCCCTCCACACCCTATGCGATCCCATGTTCCACCCAGTTGTCTGCCGAGACTCTGATGGTGCCCTGCCGACATTCTGCTGGAGTTTTTAGCCCCTCTAACTGCCCCATCTTTTACTGCCGCCAATGTGCCAATGTCCTGCCGACGTCTACCTCCAGACCCAGTGCCCACGTGCAATTCCATGTTATGCCCAACTGTCTGCTTAACATCCTGCGGATGTCCCACCAACATCCTGCTGGAGTTCTTCCCCACTCTGCCAGCCCCATGTTTTACCCGCCGATGTCCTGCCAATACGCCGATGCCCAGCCGTCGTCCCACCCTAGACCCGGCGCCCCCATTAGGAACTCACCGGAAACACGGACAGGGCCAGGGAGCTGTAGACCAGGGGCCGGGTGGGCCAGCAGGCGCTCAGGTAGAGGCACTCGTGCACGAACACCGCCACCGTCGTCATCACCATCAGGCTCTCCACCGTCGCCAGAAACAGGCCCCAGTTGCCCAGCACTGCACGCACACACAAGGTTGTCCACCACCAATCCAACAAAACAAAGAGACCCGTGGCTCAAAACTGCCCTATTTCAATTATCTGGATGAACAGCATACCGATTTACCAGAAAAGTGTAGGGCAGTGTACTTCTGGTATGTGTTTTAAGATAGGCTGCACTCGTAAATTGAATATGGCAGTATGGCAGTGTGCACTGTGTGTAGCTGGCGCAGAAGTGCAGGTAAATGAAACGAGTCTACTACTATAATGCGTGGTGCACGTTAAAAGACTCCAGGCTAGCAGTCGTACTGGGCTGGTTCCATTTCTCATCAATGGCGTCAACCAGTGTCGTCATACCTCGAAGGCAGAGCGACCTTATGCTGTCTAATCACAAACGCATACTTTGCTCTTTTTTTTTTTTTGCAGGAGCCGGAAAAAGTGCACATACTAGAGTTTAGAGTTCCTGCCTCGCCCCAATGCCCTTAAGGTGCAGCAGACAGTGAAGCACTGTAGAATTTTTGTTCTTGAAAATCACATTCCATAAAGTGTAGTAATCATATGGGCAAGCTGGAAATGTTAATTCTCGGAAACTTTTGATGTTCAATAAACTTTGAGATTATGGTGACCATTTCGGTTAGAACGAAATGGGCCGAAGGTGCGGAGCATGTCTTATTACCTGTGCTTTGAGCTTGAATTCTTGATTTCTGTTTTGCGTTTGATAGACCTAAATGGTATGGTGACCATTTCACTGAAGGAGTCAGGTTTTTTTATATAAGTAAGGCAAAGAATCTGAGACTTCCAGGTCATTTTGGTGTGTCTGATTTGCTCTGCTGTTTGTGATTCTTCCAAACTGAGTGTGCAAGTGGTTTGTATGACCGCATGGAAGCGTGATGTTCCCTCGTATATCTTGTTGGTGACATTGAGAAGAAGGATACACAGGGTGTCTCATGAAACGCAGGCCAAATTGTTTTCACGAAAAGTAGTTTTAGCACAGAAAAAAAATTGTCTTATATTGGTCCCTGCCAAAGGGTCCACTATTTAGACATATTAATAAACATTGGTATATTTAGGTCCTTAGTTACTTTTGAGTAATTACCTCTTAAGTAGTAAATTTGAATCATCCCAGGCCTCATTGGAAACCACTAAATCGTCACACCTTACAAAATATTTCACGGCGTTCAAAGACTCATGGGTTCACTTTGGTCATGCACAGAGCGAGCGGCGAAGCACATTAACCGTGCAGTTTGGCGGCAAGGAGCAAGACTGCTGCTGTAGAGATGTGCTCCATTAGGAAACCGAAACTTATGAATGCATCCAAATTTAGCGCTTTATCGGACTACCATAAAATGCTATGCGTGCTTATATTCTTGTAAATTGGGATAATTTAGTGGTTTTTATTGATGAATTCATTAATCAAAAGTAATTAGGAACTTAATTATACCGAACGTTTTTCATTTCCTTAAACAGGCCTCTTGGTAGACATCTATACGACACGAGCCTTTCTCCACGCAACATAGTTTCCACAGGAGCACTTTTACCAGTGTTTCGTGAGACACTTTGTTTAAGGTGGGTAACTAAACAAATTGTAGCCGAGTTTGAGACACTGTTTGGCCCCCTTTGTTCTGTTCTTTCCACATTTGAATCTTTCATTTTTCTTCGTCTAATCCAATGTTAATTTATACTGCGACAAACTCCCACAGCAGTGATTTTAAGCGACGCAATTCCGCTCACAAAATCCCGCGAGAATCCTTGTCGCCTTAGGTTTCCTCTGCATGGAGGCAGTAGTCTTTTTGGCTTAATTATAAACTCATTAGCATTGTCACTGACTACGTCAGACAGAGCAGATGACCACCTCAACTGGAGCAGCTGCGGTTCTTTTCTGCCATCGACCGCTTTGGCTGATGCACCAAATCATGGCACTAAATAATTCTTCACTGAGCCGTAAAGACATTGCACAGGAAAAAACTTTGGCTAATGGCTCAACTGCGTGGATTCGTGCAAGATTTGTACTGGGAGCATGCCGCAGGAAATGACCTTATAACGAAGCCAATTAACGACAAAACAATCTTTAATATGGGGCAGTTTCACAAATTGCCTTCTCACTTCTGGTAAGCCACGTTCCACCATGTTGACCAAGTGTATGCCACTTCACCCATTAGTTTGCGTGCAGATTAGTCATTCGAGTCATGTTTTGCTTTTATGAAAAGCACAAGCGTGACAAGTGGCTCTATCGATGACCCCAGTAAGTACACTAGCAATTGTATTTGGAGCTGCGTAATCCAATGCTCCCTTCTTTTTTTCCCTTTTGGAGTCACCCTGGTGGCGCCTACTGTGCTGTATGCAAACGCAAAGGCGTAGAATGCAAGTTTTCCAGTAGGCGACATTGATGATTTCTAATGGAAGGTGGAATTTATAGCAAAATTTAAAGCTACTGTTTGACGCTAAGGGTTTAGTCACTACCATCCATCTATCCAATCATAGAAATGAGCCGTAATGTGAAGTCTGGGGAAATGTCGGTCACTGCTTTTTTCACGTTGTTTTTAATAGACAATAAATATTTTCAATAAAACACCAGTGCATTTTTGTTTTTTGCTCGAGACAAATAAGAGCCCCATTTGCCAATAAACACGTGCTACGTAGATGGGGTAATAAAAAGGTTTTTATTCTTGTGTCAGCAATCATTTGACAGTCATTCCTTCTATGTATTGTTTTGGGCTGACTACGGAAATTCACCATTGTATCAAAACTTTTTTTACTGATGACAAACAAGCTACGTGTGCTACATGCATAGAGCCGTAAAAACGTTTTTACTTCCACGTCGGCAATCATTGTCTCCTATTAAAATGGTAGAGAAGGCAGCAGGAAACACACTGCTACTGAATTTGCATCGACATTCACAATCATTGGAGCATTTCGGAACAATGAAGCTCAATGTATTCAGTGTATTACCCCCGGAACAAAAGTAGGCACATAATAAACAAAATGACAACCTTTTGCAGAACATATATTTTGGGTCCGAATCAAATTCGAACCGAATAGTGATTTTAGCCAAATAATTTTGAATCGAACAGCTTGAATAGTACAAGCAACAAATACCACAAGACATGTTTAAACTATAGTTTCATATTTGCCCTTATTTGGTAATTCGATATTGTCGAATAATTCAATGTTGTTGAATAATTCAATATTGTTGAATAATTCAATATTGTTGAATAATTCAATATTGTCGAATACTTAAAATTGATTCGACGTGAATGCCGTATAGAACCGAAGTCGATGGGCTATTCGTAATAAGCAAATATTCGCCCATTCCTATCAATATCAGTTCCCCGGAAATGGCTTTATGGCGACCAATTCAATTACCAGGCATCCTGCGACAACTCTCCTCTATTCATTCGTAACCCAGACAAGGGGACTAAAATATCACGCCACGTTACAGAACAGAACCCAGCTGCGCGGCCTCAAAGGCCGGCCGGCCCGGTATTTACGTAAGAGACAGCTCATTAATCTATCGCCGTGGCAACCGTTCTCGTGTATGCTCTGCGTGGCCGGTTCCCTCCCAGAGTAACTCGACACTTCTCTGATTGGGAGAAAGGCAAACAGAAGGAGCCAGAAATAGCAGGATATTTGTTGTTGTTGTTGTTTCAGGTTGGGGGGCAGAAGCAGACTTGCATGGTATTCATTATAAGTACTAATCAAATAACTTGTAATTGATTTTTGGAGTAATTTTGTAATCATTTGGATACATTTATTACAAAGTAATCACAAGGGTAATCTGATTACCCTTAAAGTGTGTGATCAAGTAATGGTGGGCACGCAATGGCGCAGGCTTTTGAAAAGAATCTATTGTCTGGCATTTACTGCAGTTTTTTTCACCGTGTCCTATCCCAGGGCATCTCGTCATTTCATCAGCATCTCTTTGTAGATCAGGGTTTCTCAAACTATTTGATCTCGAGGCTTTAGTGAAAGCTGAAGAACCTCTTCTAGTCTCTGCGTTGACACGATAAAGCGGTGCAAAAGCCCACGGACCTTGAAAACAAGGATGCACCTAGCTAGGTTGTGTTTGACTCAATATACGCATCAAGGGATGGCTCAAATCTGCCAAGACAGTGCTTAATCTGGAAGAACACTTTGTTTAGTGGCAGGGACGTTCGAGGAAATTTGAAAGTTTGGGTACCCCTCGGGGGCACCCTGAGGAACGTCCAGGTCCCTTGGAACCCAGTTTGAGAAGCAATGCCATAGATGGTTAAACCACCCAGGGACTGTAGCCTAAAACACAATGCCATCTAGACTCTTACTACGCATACGTGGACATTGCACGAAGCTCCTGCACCTTTAGCCCACCAGCTTGGCACCACTTTCGAAAATTCAATCCAAATTCAAAACTTGATCTTCCAGATGTGCTCTGGAGGGTCTACCGGTCAAGAAATGAAAGACGCTTACAATTCTCTGCCATGCCAAATTAGAGAGCAGCTCTTGAGGAGGAGGAGGGAAGGGTATGCCCCTGCTCTCCCCCATACCCTCCCCACTTCCTCTCCTGCTCCCCTCCCTTTGTGCGGGTAACTTCTGCTAAATTTCCCCCTAAATTTAGCAAACATTTCCCCGCTAAATGTAGCAGGGGAAATATTCTTGCTAAATTTAGGGGGGAACTGGATTGGTGTTGAGGTCACGTGATGTCAATTTCCCCACCAAATCTAATGGGAAAATTTTTCCACTAAATGTAGCGGTGAAAGTTTTTCGCTAAATTTCTTGTGACCTCACATTCATTCATGTGACGTCGCGTGTGACATTACGAGGGTAAAATTTCCCCCCCAAACTTAGCAAAAAATCCCTGTTATATTCAGCAGATAATTTACCCGCTACATTTAGCAGGAAAATTGCCCCCTAAATTAAGCGAAAAATTTCCCCGCTAAATTTAGCGGGAAAATTTCCTCGCTAAACTTAGTGGAAAACTTTTTCTGCTAAATTTAGCAGAGAAGTTTTACCCTTGCGACGTCGTACGTGATGTCACGAGAATAACATTTCTTTGCTAAATATAGCGAAGAAATTTTTCTGCTAAATTTACCGGGAAAGTTTTACCCCGTGACGTCACATGTGACGTCATTATGGAAAACGTCCCATAGTGCAATGCGCAATTACGCCGACGGCGACGACGCTCAACCCGAAAATGGGCACCTCAGAGCTGTGCTCTAAAAAGCTACTAAAGAGCAGCTTGACAAGGTCTAGAAGCCCGTTACACTGGCAATGGCAAAATAAAGGTTTTGAAGGTCCCAGGAGTTTGTTAGTTTGTAATAAAAGATTTTTAAATGTTTCTGAGTAATTGTGAAGTGGTCCTAATTTGAGGGCGCAATCATTGTAAACACTATACCTGCATTAGCTGACCCATTGCACAAACCTCGGGTGTGGCACCTTCATTTCCACTGAATGCGCATTTAAGAAAAAAAAAAGTGAAGTACAGAAGTTGTTGCATAGACTATGGTCTCTGAGGTGGCAGGAACGGCGTTAAAGAGACGGCGACCAGAGTAGCACACGCACGAAAGCGCTCTGTTGTCAGGGAGAGCAAATTAAACGTTAGCTGTTTACACACACAGCGAGGTTTGTCTAGCCTCGCATTGTGTCATTCGTTTACGCCGTAGGTTAGAAATTAAGTACCACTGCTAGCCCGAGGTCTTTACTGTGCATTGAGGAGCAGTAATATACGACCAGATGCCGGTATGGCGCTTGTTTAGATTGAAACGGGCAGGGGCGGGGATCGAACCAAGGGTCCCTGGGTTCTGCAGCGTGAGCTTTAGCTCTGCACGCCCCAAACTACAGCACGGTGACACACCCAGTCGTCAGTCCCCCAACCCTGTTAGAGGTACACGCCATTTTGTGCGCTTCCGACAGGACGAGACCGAACCAGGTGCTACATGAGCAGTGATAAAAGCGTCGGGTATCGGCAAAAATATGCGACAACTTCTTATACCTAGGGCAGATCTTTTTCATTCGCTATATCAGATAGTTTGAAGCTTGGTGTTTTGTCTCGGACGACCACACCGTAGAACTGAATTAAAGTAGAGACTTGAGCTAGTTTGTACCTCAACATGATAAAACAGTGCACAGAACACAGAGGAAGAGAAATGTACAGGTAGAATAACGGCGCTCTTTCGTTCTACCTGTCCTTTTCTCTTCCTCCGTGTTTTGTGCGCTGTTTTATCATGTTCACGTAGAGCTGATATATCACAGAAGCCCACACATGAAGAGACGGGTCAACCAGAGCCACTAAAAAAGTTATGCTTCAGTGTAATAATGCTTTAGCCACAGGATGGACGGATGCTAATGGCTGCAGCCTTTATAACGGGCAGTAGCTTCTGCCACCTAGCCTAGAATGTTGCTCAAAATCATTGTTTCCAGTTGTTCGATGCTTTACGTGAAATCCTATGGAACGCTCTTCTGTCCTCCAGAAATGTTAAAACAATGTTGCCTGATCATCACGACACCATAGCTAAGGCTCAGGAGGCTGCAGCTTTCTAATCATAACCATTGTCAATAGACCAATCTAACCAACCAGTTTGGTTATGCCACCGCTACCGCAATGCATCGAGGGTACTTTAGCCTTCTAGCTTTAACCTCGCAGGAGCTCTCTGCATGCAGAGCATGGAGCACCACAAGCCGTCTCGTACACTGCCGCCTGCCTCCTGCCAAACTGAACTTATGGCAGCGTCTCGCTTGTGCCGAATGCTTGGTGAGAACGGTCTATAGCACCTACTCTGCAATAGGTAACAAAATGGTGGCGCCCACGAGACAATCGGGAATGGGGTGTCAATACCCTAAGCGCCGCCCATCTAGCGGCTCTAAGGTCCACACAGGAAGCAGGAAGAGAGCTCACCTGCATAAGCCTCTGATGGAGTCGGTGTGTAACCCTTTTCCAGTAACTCTGAGCAATTCAGGGGTTTCATTGTTCGCTGGACTCTTCCACGGCATCACACAAATTTGGAACTGCAGGGAAGGGTCTCTGGTCAGAGGAAGCGGGGCACCTCTTTGGTTAAGGCCAGTCCACACACTTGCGTCTGCTAACGAACGAGTGCACCACAATATCTTATGCCGCCATCGACAGGTTGGCCCCAGAACTGCACTTCACTGGAGTGAACGATTTCACAGTATATACGAGATCAAATGTAGATACTCTCTACGAGAAATTGACATTTATAGTTGGTTACAAGTCAAGAAGGTAGGAGAAGCTCCTCCCACAAGCGTGATGCGCCCGTTTCAAATTTCTCCGCAGTTGAAAGAAGAGTTCGCTGGAAACGCTCCTTGTTCCGCTTCAATGGATTCCAACTTGTCTCCGATCCCACTTTTTAAGAAAGCGACCATTGTATTCATCGGGGAGGGAACCGAGCCCCTGAAAGCAGCCTTTGTATCCATCGGGGGGGAAGCTAATCCCCGAAAGTCGTATTCGTTTCCGTCGGTGGGGGAAAAACTCTAATCTCCCTCTCGTGGCTTCCACAATACTAAGTCGAAGTCGAAAGATAAAGTAAGTATGTACAGAAAGGCAAGACCCTCCTCGCACATTGGGCGCGACGTCACGGAAACGATGGGACGCTATTGGATGCAAAGGTGGCGGAGAGATCTAGGATTCCCTTTGAGGGGCATTTGCCGCTACCTTCTTAACCTGTAACCAACTATAGAACATCCACGAAAACTTTTCGAGCCAATATCAAAACAATAATGCACGAAAAAGAAAAATACAGAAATTACGAGTGTTCCGCGGTTACTCGACAGATGGCGCCAGTACTTCCTCTCGTCTTAAGAGATTACAAGAGGTCGCAATGAACTCGTTTGCAAGCAGTTGCAAGTGTGTGAACAACCCTCAACAATGTGGATGCGGAGCATTCACAAATCCACCCACACGCCAAAATCCCCATCCTTGTGGATCACGGATTGATTAAGCAAACCACACCGACTTGGCATAACACAAATAACAATTTAATTAGACATTTTGTCTCCCCTACGGGAGACATCATCAGTGAAGCCCAGAGGCAGCAATGAGAAAAACGCCAGCCAGAAATTCCACTTAAGGAGGTCCACATACACTTCGGAAAGGGGGCCGCGGTTGGAGTTACAAGCAGATGAATCACACCGGATGCACCATGACTCCAAGTACCTTCGTGGACCCCACCTTTGTTCGCGCGCCTAGGTCGACGCGTTCTTGAAACCAAAACTGTGACCCGTTTGCCAACAATGGTCAACCAGCTCTGCCCTAGTGGCATGCGTCGGTTGTGCCACGCCACGTTTGTGTTCTTTCATACGGGTGCAACGTTCGCAGCCCATCTCCCCAATACATGATGCGTCACAATCTAGACAGTTCATTTTATACACAACACCACACTGGGACTCTGGGGAGGGGTATGTCTTTTGGCTTGGAAACGAGGTCACATAGCTTAAGATGCGGTTTGAAAGTTGTTAGGATACTTAAAGGGTCGAGGGCCCTGCAGATAGACTCAGAAATGCCTTTATTATAGGGAATTGCTAGATGCCCTGCTCTATTACGATTTTTATCCTAACGTCTCCCTTATCCCATCTGCTTACGCGTGTTTCCTACAAAACGTCTAGGATAATCCCGCTTCACCAGCGAGTTGACAATAAATGTATCTTTCAATGCTCGCCGTTCCAGATTAGAAGAAATGTAACCAGACCGATACAACAGGGGTTTTAGGACTGCTCTTTTGTGCTCGACTGGATGATGCAAGTTTAAGAAGTTACCTGTGTCGCAACCTTTACAGTAAACAGTTGTTTCTATGTGTCTGGTGCTGTTTCGGTTTACAATAACATTTAGGAAAGGCAGTGCGCTCTTCTGTTCTGCTTTACGTGTGAACTGGATTGACGGTTTAACGCTGTTCACAAAGTTAAATGAAAGTGATTGTCATGGTATCTGTTTAGACTTATGAAAGTGTTTAGAATTATGCACTTGTTGACTTCTGCTGAAGTTTGGCAGTGCGGGCGACAAAGTGTTATCAAACGCACAAAGCTTGTGCTCGAGGCAAAGCATCTACTGCGTTCTTAATCTGTAACCAACTATTATTGCCTTGATTAGGATGCACAAAAGAGCATTATGCACTTCAAAATGAGCTTTTTTATTATTATTATTTTTTTTTTTTTATTATTACACATCTTCCGAATGAAGATTCGGAAAACAAACTGCTATGAAAATTTTTAAATGCGATCTTAACACGAAGTATATGCTCATTCATTTCAATCCTCTACCAATCCCAAGATATCTTCTTTTTTTTTTCATTTTTAGAGCTATCAAATAAATTCAGAGTGGACTGAATAGCGTACTAGAATATATTTTAGATTAATTTTGCCAACTGACGCAAAGGCACGAAGCACAGGTAAAGCAACGAAGGTGTACATCCAGCATGTCTGTACTCGTTCCACTCGAATATTTTCATTTTTATTCTTTTAAGGAAGCTATAACAGCGCAACTTTCTCTTGGAAATCATCTACAAGAAACTGAAATATTAACGAAAAACCCCAACAAAAACATTCCACGAAACGCGGAAGTCAAACGCTTCACTCGAATAACTTCAGGCCGTTTACAAACATTGAAATGCGGGTAGTTACGTAACACTGCCCCGGTAACATTGGCGAACTAAAACATGAATTTAAACCAAGCATGCATTAAAAAGAAATAAAAAGAAATGCAAACCGGCAATCGAAGCAAAGGACGCGAAAACGTGCCTGTGCCATCGTGAAGTTTTACCGCTACTTGTCACACTTCGCGGCGGCGTCGATCTAGAGCTGATCGCAACTAATGGCCAAAACGCGCCACTAGCATTTGCGACAACCTAAAAGTGAATTTCACTAACCAAAAAAATAAAACGGTAAATGAATCGCCGACTGTTTAAATGCGATATTTGCAAAGCTTCCCGATTGGGGAAAGTGGGTAGCCGGGCTCCACATGCAGGAAAGGAGTTATGCAAGAGGAAATGGTGAGGGTCGCGGTACGTCACCTTGTCCACGTAAAGGAAGTCCTGACGAATAAGCTGTCGATATCATCATCAACTATTCCCTTTTTCGGGCGTGTTAGCGATCATTTTCGATCAAGTTATGACCGCTCGCGCATCGGAGACGGCGAAGCCAGCTGACTGCCCAACCCTCTCGTGAACACTCTCACGACATAGATGGATAAAACAATCTAGTGTAAAAATAAATAAAAGCATAAACTTTTAAATAGGCGGTTTTCTGCGCCATCTGGTTTTAGTGGTAATAGTGATAACTAACGTGGCCTGTTTTGTTTGTTTGATGTCGTAAAGGCTAGCGTAGTGTTCATAGTGCTGCAGCCGCGCAGTGCTCTTATAAAAAACACGCTGTAAGATGCTGGGGGTGTGGTCGGTGTCGTCGGTGCAAGGTGCAAGCGGTGCAAGGAATCGCTTGTGAGCGTACAGGACTCAACAGGGGCTTTTGTTGACTGACCATTAGCGCCGCCCCAGTAGCTGCATGAAAGTAGTGCACGGCAGGATTATGCAGGTCTTCCAGGCGTATGAGCACGTTGGAGTGTTTTATTTCTGGTTTGCGCGAGTTCGAGCGAAAAGATGATCCCCGCTTCTGTCGGAACGAGTAGAAACGGTGCGATGTTGTAACTCTGTGAAATGAGCGAAAGAACCGCGAGAAATCGACCGTAGGTTGCGACGGGGAGGACGTAGTGTCGATGAGAGATGAGAGCATCTATCTAATGCTCGTGGAAACAACCCACGAATTATCTTGTGACTACTCTGCTCCAAGACAACGAACCAAGCAGCGGGTTCGGACACTGTGCCAACGGTGTCAACGTTTCAAGCGATGCCGGACTCCAGCAAAGTCGTCTTGAAGTTCGAGGGTGGAGGAGACGGCGAAAAGGCAAGAGACTGGACGGGCAACCTGAAGTTGGGTCGACCTACCGTGAACGGTAACTTGCGTGGTCCCTGACAGATTGAGAAAGGAAGGAAGGAGTTTCAGTTGCCCGCCTCCAGCGCGAGCTTCCTGCCTTCGATGACATTTCTTTGTCGTGTGCCCGAAGCGCGTAGTCAAAGCCATAACCTCCTCTATACTGACAGAGCCTGGAAGATCGCCACGAGAAGCGGCTGCCGAAATGGAAAAGGTGGAGCGGACGACAACGGGTGAAAGGAGAGCCACGTGACTTGCGCCCCGCTGCGGCGAGCGGCCGAAACACACTTCTCCCGAGCGAACAAGTGCGTTTCGGGTCATCGCCGCTGCAAAAGCTGTGTGCTGACGTCCAGGTTCCTAGAGAAATGGCTCTTTGATGCTCTGCTACCAGTGCTACCAGATCCTCGCGCTCCAAATCTGCGACCAGGCACTCAATGGCTCTGTCGTCGAACTGCTAGGCTTTGTGAGTATAAAGGAGGCTATGCCAAAGCACGCACGACGGAGGGCAGCGAGTGTGTGCTTGGAGGCCGGGTGTTCGAAGGAGGCACTCTCCCATTCCCATCCTGCCACTGGCTATAACATCATTGATTATCAAGAAGTCGCACGGCGTGTCAAACAAAATTATAGCTGCTGGAAAAAGTGATGTACTACATCTGTGTATTTTTTTTTATAAAAAAAAGAAAACAATTCATCAACTATCTCAATTTTCTTCTTTTTTCTTTCTTGCAGTTACTGTGACATTTTAGTGTTCATCCTATCCAGAAAGAAGGCACAAGGACCTGCCAGACCTGCAGGGAACAGCTGGCATGAACTGTGCAAAGTGTGTGCAACGACAGTGGTGACGCTAGGTGGCGCAAGCCGCCGCGCATTTGAAAGGGTTTGGTCGTGTGCATTCATTCATTCACTTTTAAAGGGGTCCTGCAATCATATTTAAGCGTCTACCTTTTTTTTTGCGGTTCCACGTCTCTTGGAGTTCGGGCGAGCCAGCGGGCATGGAGAGAGTAACTAAATATCAGTGCGTTATATTTTAACCAGACGACGCAGAAACCTCCTTCACCAACGGGGGCGACCCACGGTACCGAAAGCGCGCGATATGTGACGTCTTTGGTCCTGGGCTTACTACTGGTCAGAGCTGCTAAAAGCTTTTTTTTGGTCGAAATACAAAATATAAGTGGTGCGAACCGTTTCAGTTTTTTATTAAAGTAGTTTTTCAGTATTTCAAATCAAAAAAAGAAACAAATACAGTTTATAAAGTACAGAAACAAGAAATGACCCGTCAACATACCCGCCACCAAGCGGTGGAAAAGGCGGTGCATACTAAAAAAGAGTAGTGGGATCAAGCGCCGACACGGAAAGGTCCCGGATGTACGCTGTGGCGCTGTGCTCGTATGGACTGGAGGATCTGACCGGCTCCAAGCGTTCTTAAGGCCTTCGGCGAGTAGCTTTGTCGTGCGGTTTGGCCGTTTTGTGGTATGGCAGTGCGAAGCGGCTCCCATTCTGAACTGATCTTTCCCTTTTGTTTGCTGTCGTTTGTGGCCAATGAAGTGTCATGCTGAATTAGTGCTTAATCGTGCAGCAAATGCAATAAGAGCCGCTCTGGCTGCCCGCTGCATACAGCCTATCCAGAGCATGCTTTAGTGGCGCGCTCTCGCACCGTCGACACTGAGTGCGGCAGCTGTGAGCGCTTGCTCAGCTCGCTACCCCTCCTCTAGCTCACAGCCACTCAAGCAACCAAGGACGTCGTGAAGGAGGTTATTTTTTGCTTGTTTTTGTAATTTTAATTTGCCTATAACTTTTAAAATAAATGGAAATTCGAAAAAAGATTTTTTTTAAGTTACTATGTTCAGTGTGCTCAAATTCGGTGAAAATTAAAAATTAGTAAACAAACTCGTAGGGCTTCTTTAAGGCACAAGCGATGCTAGGTGGCGCAAGCCGCCGCCCAATTTAGAGGTTTCGGCCGTATGCGTTCATCTATTCACTTTTAAGGTGCAGTGCAGTTTGTCTTCAATGTTGCAGTGATTGGGTCCATATCGCATGAGCGAATGGCATTTTAGCAAACAGCGGTCATTTGAGCCAGTTGACGAATCACTAGGGTGCGTGTTAACACTGCCTTTGCAGCAGCAGTTTGCGGTGGCTCATTACAAAAATGTTAAACCACCTTGCCCTCCCATAAATGCCGCTTCGCGGCGGCTGACCATTTGCTAAAGTGTCTTTCGATGCAAAATAAAAAGTTGACATTCGCTAAAACGTTGTTCGACCAAGTGAGTGCCACCTGCAGTAGCTTCGTGCTCCACTAATGTGCACCGTACTGATTTTGGTGCAAATGAAGATGCTAGGGGTCAGTTCACTGAAGGCGTGACCATGGTCGCGACGCTTAGAGATCTAGGTGTGCACCGACTTTAAAAAGTGAGCTAGGCGCAAGGCATTGAGCGATGGTGTCGAGTGCAAGAGAGAGCTTAGCACAGGCATGATTTGATGAAAGGATGTTTCAACACAAAACTGTGACCCTACGACGCATGAGAACAGATCGTGGTTCGGCTATGGCCTTGTCCGCTAAGTGCAAAACTGGTGGGATGATCCCAAGATGACCCCAATGACATACCTCTCAACACCGTGGTCGAGTGGATTACAAAGCATTGAGTTTATTGCAGGACAGCAATGACAGGATTGGGGTCTATCAGAGAAGAGATCCAGCTACTGCACCCCAAGCAGTTAACTCTAGAACTATGCCCATGGGTACAGCCAGAATGACTGAGCGCTCTGCTGACGTCGCCAAACGGTGTGTCGGGGTTCAACCAGCGCTCGTGTCCTCCCGTCGGAGGAGGAGGTGCAGTTTTGTAGCCACTCTAGCCTGCGCAAACAATACAGCATTGCACCGTGCACGCGTCCAGCACCTACTCGGCACAACGGTTGAAGTCGGTCAAGCTTGCATCCTCTCGCAACCAGTGGCGGATGCAGGAATTTCCTGAGGGGAAGGTCAGCTGTTGGTCAGCGTACCATATGTTTAGGAACCCCCTCCCCCTCTCCCTTGTTTCACGCCCTAAATTTTACACATGCAGAAATCAAGAGGGGGGTCAGGACATCCGGACCCCCTCTCTAAATCCGCCCCTGCTCGCAACTGCTTTCAAGGGGCCCTCCAACGATCTTGGAACTAGTTTGAAATTTGTGCCGAAACAGACCTCATTGAACGGAGAAGCATAAAAGAAAAATGGTTTTCCAGAAATTTGAGTTCTTTTGGGAGTTATAAGCAAATTAAAGTTACAATAAGAAGCAAAACATTTTGCTCCTTGACACGGTGGTAAAAAAATGATTGGAGGGCTTGAGCGAAGCGGCTGGCCAATTGGCTGCGAGTTTGGCTCGTAGCTGCCCTGAGGAGGATGTGCACACACCGTCGTTTATCGCTGAAGCCACTTGCATTGTTGTAGACCTCGGCTCTTTATACTTTGGCGTAGGCAAACCCAACGTGCGCAGGTGTAGTGCGATGTTTCTAGTCTACTTCACTGAGCCCCACCATAGAGCCCAGCATAGTGGTGGTGTGACCAAAGCAGCGATTCGAAGCAGGAAGTCGCACTGCGATAGGTTAAAAAAAAAGAAACGTGAATGCTGGAGATAATGAGTGCAAATAGGCATTTATTTTCTACCGAACATGCACAAATATCCACGGGTAAAAAGCAAGAAAGATCACAATGTCGCGTCCGTCCAAGCATTCACTGGCCGGCCTTGACAAATTTGATGCACTTGCGTTTCGCAGCAGCATTCATTTGCGTATTACATTGAAGGGGGTGGACGATCCCTTAATTACATTGTTTACGCATTCGAAATAGTGCACTCTGAATAAATGTTTCGGGCTTCAACTTCATTTTCATAGCACACCACTTCTACACTATGCATTTGCCGTTGCGAACAGGAATGGCTGCTGGTGCGATACGACTAGCGCATGATCATACCTAGCTCGTATGCGAGGTCGTCCTGAATTACAATTAACTTTACCTTCGGTTCGTCATCGACCTTCAAGCTTTGGCTGGCAGCCCGTGAAAGCACGTCGGCTCGTTCAACTTGCGAAGCTTCTCGGGGTAGCGCATAGAGCCGTCCGTGTACAGACTCGCCCGATCGAGCGCACAGACTTGCTTGCCAACAGAAAAACATGGGAGCACAAAACTGAACAGCGCATGATGCCTTGCGGAGGATTCAAATCGCAGAAATGAGTCTCGCGCACGCTTTGACTAGCCCGATATCCCAATTCACAAGTGGACACCCGCCGGACCTCGGTGAGGGTTAGTGCGGCAGCGCTAGTGTTCTTGCGCGCTGACTAGTTCCGCTGCTGGGAGGTGGGCTTGTCATGTGTTATTTTCTCCCTGGTTCCTGCACATTTGAAGCATTTTTTTTCAATTTTCCATCTTTCTCGCTCAACAAAAAAAATTCTTTTTTGAAAATATAGTTATGGTTTACAGAGTGATACACAATATTTAGCCTGCGTAAAAAAATTCAGATGTCTCTCGTCGACACTGACATTCACAATATGGCTGCTAGCGACGTCACCACATGGCACGTTTGCAACAGACTATGCTGCCAACAAACGTTGTGCTGTTTTTGCCCGATCAAATTAAAATATGATGCGATAATATTTTGTGGCTACTGCTTGTACCTCGAGTAGCCCGAACCCCCAATTGAGGTAATAACAAATAGGGCAGAAGCTCAAATGTTATTAGAGGGCCCCTTTCGGGATAGGGATCCGACCCGTCGCGTCCTGCCAACATCGCTCCATCTGTTGTGAACTCTTTCCGTTACACTGCGCCCCGCGCTCTATCGAGGAAGATGACGCAAATAGTTGTCTGCAGGCCTTGTGGTGGGTAGACACCGGGCTCCTGGGAAAACAAGCTGCAAAGAGCGCCCTCCGTAGCTCGATCTCACTAATACCCGCGAACAACTTTCTGGGCCCTGCAGTCGAAGCTAGGGCGCTCTTCACTTCCGAATAGCCCCGTAAAGTTATATACAAGTATAGAGATTGAGTACAGGCATTGTCTTGCCACCAGCTTGTTCAAGCTGGGTCATACGACCCTAGGAGCGATGGAACTGTATAACAGCTGTGTCTCTTCCTCGTTGCAGAACCTTTGAGGGACCCTTCAGACGGACGGCCGAGCAGGAAAGGCTCGGCTCTTACGAAACGACGACGAACGGTGCATCGACGACCCGAAGGAAGCACTTGCACGAGAATTCCTGCAACCCACAGAGTACCAGACACATAGAAAGACTAAAGCGGGGTGGCGGTTCCCATAATGGAGCTTTTGCCGAGGTACTTGAGCACCGTGGAGGATGCTGGGAGCGTAACTAGCACGTGCTGGCAGCTGCCAGCACATGCAGTGTGTGCGGCCATGCTCAGCACGCTCCTTGGTGCTCAAGTAAAGGCTGACTCGCACATTTGTGTTTGAGTGTGCTCGACTTTCATTGTAACCACTTGTAACTGCTTACGACGGTGGAAGACACTTATGTCACCTTGTGGGTGGCCCTGGAACACTTCCGGTCGGTACAATTGGACGGAAGCTTTTTTGGTATTTGCGACATCTATGCACTATGTATGAGAAACGATCACTTAAAACATTGTCAATATTATTTCAAGCCCATGGTGAAAAGGTATTACTGCATAAAAAGATATATGCATGTCGCAAGTGTTCCAAAACTTCCCGATGGACGACGCCAATGTGTTCTCGTCGTAAGCAGTTGAAAAGCAAGTTTGCAATGCAGTTGGCAAAAGCAAACGTGCGAGCCAGCCTTCATTTTGCGGAAGGTCTAATGGCGCATCCATGCACAATCAATTTCATAAGAACTGGGATGCAAGAAAAAAAAACATCTGGCCCAGCATAATCTTAATACGCTTTAGTCTTACTTGGTGAAGTGGGTGACAGCCATTGTTGTTTTTGATCATGTTGGTTGTTATGAAAGTTTCTGTTGAGTGGTATTATAATCTCTTGTTACCGCATACCTCCTTGGCTTTTTTTATTCTAAGCTTTCCTCGTGAACTGCTGTACTACCTCTGGCCAGACTTCGTTAGTGATGCGATTCTGAATTTGTTTTTCACATGCAAAACTTTTTTCGTGACCGTGCGATAATATGCTTTATTGATTGTTTTGATTCCTTGGTATTTTTTTTTAGCTACTGTGCAATGTCGAGGGTGGTCTGGCCTAATCGGGCAAAATCTGTTCACCTTTTGCTCACCACCCGTGGCTGAAGGATTTCAGATTTAATTATTATGGTCACTGACAGGGTGAGAATGGCAGGGAGGAGCTGCGTGAATTATTTTATATTCTGAAAGTTTTAAGTTTCTGTGCCTCCAGTGCCAGCTTCCTGCCTTCGAGGACGCTTTCTCTCGAGCGTCCATGGGCAGCCAAAGCACGGCGGAAGGTGTGCTGGAGGCCAGGCGTATGGAGGATGGACCACGCCATTCTCACTCTCTTAGTGACTATGGCATTTATTATTTTCCGGGCATGTTGAATGTCATCTTAGAGATTGGCAGCTGGCGACAGGACGTGCAGTCGCTGGCCGGCATCCTTTAGGGCAGCTCGTTGCAGTCGTTGACCAAGTGGACCCCGTTCATTGTTTGCGAGACAGATGCTGTACATGTTTTTTGATAACTCCAAGTTGACTGGCCAATCCTTGCAAAAATATGCAAAATATTGAGGCCTCGAGAACAAAATATGTTTTTGTAATGTTTCTTTTTTTTTTTTTCACTAGGGTAGTTGGTGTCACAAATGTGCGGTCTCAGCTGAGCATTAAGGCTGCTTCACACACTCGCAACTGGAGAGGCTTGAAGGCTCGTTTTAAGCCTTGTAACTGTTTACAACCGGGTGCTCTGCCGCACAGCCGGTCCTAAGCAGTCACAAGGGGCTTAAAAACAGGTTGTGGCGCAGTTGGTCCTAGTCGAACCCAAACGTGCGAACCAACATTTATGCTCCGTTTCACTCTAAGTCCGGCTGCTGCTAACGCTTCGATCCAGTGAGGCCAATCAAGCATCGCCAAAAGCAGAATGTCACGGCGCTCATCCTCTTTGGACGTCTGCCAACACCTGCTAAACCAATCCCGCACAGTAAAGCTGTTGTCATCCTGCACCTCTTTCTGTGCGTGATTGGTTTAAAAGAGCGTAACAGACGATAAGTCGGACGCAGAAACAGCGCTGTGTCCTTCTACCTCTCGTCCCTCAACTTTTACCCTCTTTTAAACCTTTGAATCGTGTTGCACCAACTGGCTCGAGCTTCGTCCTTAGGCCCGCTTCAGACGGGGCAGTTTCGCCCAGCCACTTGACGTAGCAACACGGCCCGCCCGCGTTCACACGCAGCAACCAAATTGCTACAACTTGCAATCATCATCATGAAATTTGATTTTTCGTGCACTATTTAGACGCACAGCTTAAACATGCTTTTATATCTGTGTGGCGAGAATACCAACTCATCTTTCTGAAAAGGTTTATTTCCAAAAACAATCCATTTCACACTAGAACCAAGTCTTAACCTGTCATCATCACCACCACAGAGGTATCGCGTGAAAATATTGCATGCTTGATTGACTGCTGCCGCTTCAAACGTCTCCAAGTTCTTTGAGTTGCTCAGCCGTTTCGAGCCAAACCCAATCTCAGCAATTTGTGTCTAGCTAAGGAAAACGAGGAAACACCCTCAGAATTGCTGGAAACGTTGCCCCGTCTGAAGCAGGCCTTAGCCATGCGATTGGTTTGGCCGGCGATGGCAAACACACAATGACGACGAGCGCCGCTTAACTGGCTCATTGTGAATGTGGCGTCGGTCTGCAGCCAGACTTCGAGTGAAGCTGAGTAATATATTATTCTTGACATCCTCCCCACCACACTTAAAGCCAGAAAGCAGGACAAACAGTGTCTCATTGGGTTTTAGTATCGAATAACAACTGTGTCGCCCGCCTAGTAAGGTCCTTGAACCTCCCCGCCTATCCTTTTTCCCTTTGGCACGCAGACCGGAGAGAGACGCCATGTGCCAAGTCAGCGGGGGCCTTCGCGTGCAGTGAGTGCGACAGCCTGTTCTCGTCTCGCGACTACCTGGACAAGCACCACAAGACGGTGCCCCACAAGGCGGAGGGGCGGCACCAGTGCCGCCACTGCCCCTACTCCAGCGATCGCGTGGACAGCGTGGTGGCACACGAAAGGACCCACACGGGCGAGACGCCCTTCGTCTGCTCCGCGTGCGGCAAGGCCTTTGCCCAGCAGGGCCACCTGGCCAGGCACCGCCGAGTGCACTCGGGCGAGCGCCCACACGAGTGCACCACCTGTGGCCAGCGGCTGGCGCACCTCGCAGACCTGCGGCGTCACGAGAGGACGCACACGGGCGAACGTCCGCATGTGTGCTCCGAGTGCGGTAAGGGGTTCACCCAGAAGAGCGTCCTCGTCCGCCACGTGCGGACGCACTCTGGCGCTAGAGTGCACGCGTGCCACCTGTGCGGGTACAGGGGCGGCGACTCGGGCAGCGTGAGGAAGCACGTGATCGCAGTGCACTCCAAGGAGTACCCCCACGCATGCGAGCACTGCGGCAAGGGGTTCGTGTCCCCATGCGAGCTTAGGGCCCACCTGGCTAGGAAGCACGCCGGCGGAGATTGAAAGTAGGGACATCACAAACGCCCCGAGGCTCCAGTTTCGTTAAGCTTAACCTTTGCAGAACTTTAAGTAGAAGTGCGCAAATAATGAAATTTCGGCCCAAAATGAGTAGCGTCCAAAATTTTGTATGTCGACTCAAATATTGAATACTAAAACATTTGCTATACGCTGGTGCAGGTAAGAAAAGCAGGACAGGCTTCTTTCACAAAGCCCTTCGTCCTTTCCACTTAGCAGAGAAAACACCCGAGGGGGGCGAGATGAAGCTAGGAGGAATCCCCCCTCTCTGGCTTTCGCTCTGCCAAGTGGAAAGGGAGAAGGGCTTGGCAGGAGGGGCCTGCTCTGCTTTCCTTAACCTGCAATAGAGTTTAAGAGCGCACGAAAAGTAAAAAGAAAACATAGACTAAGGAAAAATCCAGCTACATGTTTATTTTACAGCAGAATACACGAAAAGAAGACTGCCCTTGGATAGCACAATTGAAAAAGGCATTAAGGACTACTCTGTGGCACTGGAAAGTTTGAGACGCAGCTAAGTAATTTGGCCACCCATGTGTGGGTGGATACGAAGCGTGCGGGATGAATGGACGGATACAGCTTATTTGTCGCAGTCGGGTGGCGTCTTGCGTTGTTTAGCCGCTGCTCCTTGCTCAATGCTGCGGAAAGCGACATCAGAGGACGAGACTGATTCAAATGTAGATTTTTGGATTTGGTAATTGTCATGTTAGAACCCCTCCCTGCTTACGCATACCTAACGGGAAGTTCATATTAAAAATAGCGCAAAAGAGACGGGACAAAAAAACGAAGAAGCACACAGGACAAACGCTAACTGGCAACTAAACTTTATTGCGCTATTTTAATATGAATGTCCACTACCAACTTGACGAAGAAGCACACAGGACAAATGCTAACTGGCAACTAAACTTTATTGCGCTATTTTTAATATGAATGTCCACTACTAACTTGCCCAGCAGACCAAGCTTTTACTAACGGGAAGCCACGTCGGAGGAAGCAGTTTGTCTTGCGCAACTACCTTTTTGGTCACCTGGGAAGAAAGAATTTGTTTGTAGTGCACAGGAGATGGCAGCATGTGATGCGAGATATTTGAATTTAAAGACGATGTGGGTGGGTTTACGGTGTTTCGTGGTTTCCTTCCTAGGACTATGGGATACAAACTACTTTCCAACGAATTGGTTAGTCAAGGCCTCTCGATGCAGGCTTGAATTTGATTCAGCAGAGACCTGTGCGAGCTGTGTTGTCGTATGGACAGCATTTTTTTTTTAATAAACCTGGATTTTTCCCAGCAGTAAATTCAATGTGTCGAGTTATTTTAAATGTTGAATACTATAAATTACAAAGTGTGATGGAATTATTCGGTAAATCAGTATCTGATTCGATTCCGAAACTTGAATACTATTTGCATGTCCCTACTTTTAAGGTAAAGTTGGACTGGTTTGACTATGTCATCTAGGGGAGGAGGGGACATAATATTTACCAGGATTATTGCTTCACATTATAGTTAATGTGACACAATAGGCATGATACATATTGTGCCCACTTTCCCGGCAGGTTGCAGACTTTGTTTCTGCAAGACTTTGTTTGTGCAAAACTTTGTTTGCCTTTATATTGTGTCAAAGTTACAACTACAATGTGATCCACCTATAACGATACCACATATAACAATGTATTGCTTATAACAATCACTTTTTAGAGTTTCTAGTGTAGAAACGATCAGATACTAGTCCAGATACAACAATAATCGGTTATAACGATAGAAATTTTGGGTTTTCCCTTCCTTGTTATAAGTGGATGGCACTGTACTGCATAGATTATTTTCTTCCCAAAAGGTTGAAATTTTTGTGTAGAAGTCAGCCAACATTGTTTAAACTTTCCACTTTGTCGAACGTTGCCAGGGGTTCGAAAGTTTGCCAAACCAGTCAAACCTCCAGGTTTAAGAAACATTTGCGACATCCTTAGTGAAAAGACTAGCTTTTGGATTGGACTGGATTTTAGCAAGTGCAAGGGAACCAAGGTTACCAGCGTGTGGTTGGGGAACTTTGGCGCTCATGACGCTGTAAGGTGCCTGGAAGAAAGTGTGTTGCTGGAGAGTGTGTAAATAAATTGTACTTAGTCATTGCTTTGTTTTCAATGGTGGTTTGTTTACGTGTGCATGAATAAGATAACTAATTTTAAATCAAACAGTCTTTTTTTAGAAAATGAGTGAGGTTAGACAAGTGCCAGCTTTACCATCTCTTGATTAGGTTCGGCTACAGTAGATCAGGGGATAACCGTCAAGGTCAGTTGACTAATGAGCTAATATCTGTTGACTTTAATTATTAGTTCGAGGCATCATCTCACAGTTGCAGTATTGACTGCAATTCCCGTTGAAGTCTAGACCAATTTGAAGGATTTGAAAAAGAGAATGGCTCTTCTAATCAATCAATTTTAGGGCTTTTCCGCCCGATTTAAAACTTGCACGCAAAAAGAGCGCCGCAAGCCCTGTAGGCAAGGACGCTTGGAAGAGTGACAAAGTCGTTTCGGTCTCGTCATGGTGGGTAGTGCTTGCAACATTCTTTTGAAGCTCAATTTCGAAATTGAACAAAAACACACAATTTGATTATATTAATATCTAAAAGAAAAAATTTTTTTTTGGAAACTCTTGCAAAAAGAGTTGACATATTTTTGACAATTAGCCAACTTACCTTAATGATAGTCTCCCCATCTAATGTCTGCCGAGCCTGATAATTACATAGTAATAGAAAACTCGTCTGAAAATAAAGCAATGTGTGTAGCTAGTGATGGAAGTCCTGCGCCAAGTTGCACCACAAACAAAAGTGCATCTTTTGCCAGAGGGCCATGTTTGCTGACAATTCCGCCACACCGGCACTGACCTTATAGCTGATCAAAATATTTCGTTATGGGTGACCCTAATATTCGGAGAAGTAGAGGGAAAGGAAATTCGTACAAATATCTGTTTCACAGCGTCTCGACTCACGGTATAGATCTTAGATCAGGGCAGAGTCGAAGGTTGAAAATATATATTCGCGAACATACAGACTAGAAGCACAAGTTACGGGGCATTCGCTGTGCTTGATTGGTTTTGCCAATGAAAGAACACATGAAGAAAGGTGACAAATGCTATGTCGGGTTTTTTGTGCTGTTTTATTGGTCCCATTGGCTCGTCTAACGTCGGCTGCACTAGGACTTTGGTCGAAACGAAGTGTAGAGATTACTCGTCAACCGCGCCGGCCACATCTTTGAGTTTCCGGACGATGTCGACAATGTCGGGAGCTAAAAGTCGCGAGATTATTTTGCAAAATAATGGGACGGCGGCCACTGGGATAATGCAGAATTGGGGTCTTTTACTCCTGATAAGATCACTCGATCATCTTGTCTATTACACACCTTCGTGCCGTAGCCACAGACGGTGTACCATGGCACTTTCGCCGTTTGCTTCAACCTTCACCACCTTTCACTGTTGAGCATGCATCGAGCTTCACCGCAATGCACTGGATTCCTAGGGCAACGGCTCCTAGATAACAAAGCCGCAGTGCCGATAGAGCGTCGTCATGAGCAAAGGCAGACGCTGGTCGCAGATTGGACACGATAATTGCGTCAATGTTTTGCTCAAACTCGACATGGAGCTGAGCGCTAATGCGGCAGTCGTCTCCAATCTGTGTCCGACATTGGCCTTCGCTGGTGATGCAAAAATGTCAGCACTACGACCTCGTCTTCTGGACGGTGTTGCCTAGGGGCAGCGGCTGATACGGGAGGGCACTAGGGTTAGTGTGACGGGCTCTGAAATTATGCTCAGTAGTACTGCAGGTCGATCTTCCTTGGGCTTGAGTGTTGGTTGATTCCTGATTTTAAAAAGCTGTTCCGAGTAGGGATGCCACAAACTTCTCGAAGTTTGGAAAATTCGAAACCTCGCTAAGGCTTGAATTCAAAAGGTTTGTCTTTTAAAACCCCGCTGAGGTTCGCATTCAAATAGTGTGAATATGTCAAGGTTTCTGAAAGTTAGAGTTAAAAGATTTAGATTTTTCGACAGTTTGGTCAGAAAAGTTTGAACAGAAAAGATTTTTTGAACATTTAGAATTTTTTCGAGGCACAAGGTCGCAAAGTTTGGAAGTTTTGATTTTAAGTTTGAAGTTTTTTCATTTCTCGAACGGAGATCAAATTGTGCAATTTCACACTAAGTTTTCATGAATTCTTCTAAAAAGAAATGCGAAATGTGCTACAAATTTTACTGAAAACATGCCCATTTCTTTTATGCCGTGAATATACTCCTTCTGTACTGGGGTACAGATGGTACTACCTGTATTGCTCGTTATCTTTTGTAACTTATGAAACAAGCGTTGGACTAGTTGACTGATTCATAGAAAAGCCCCGAGGGGGTCAGGTGAAAGTATTTCCTACTTATTTGCGAACTAGTAGCCATCACATGAAATGTTGCCTAGACGCAGTGCTGGCATAGGACAACTAAATATTCAGGGCATGCACATAAAGGCATCCAGGCTTCCAAACATTTTTAGTTGCTCTGGGCGTTTATTTTCTTCGGAATGACCCGTGGAATGGGGAGGTCACGACATGTTGTTATCGGCCTGACCATAGCGCCGCTGCCTGAAACTTCTTCCACAAATAGAGATATTGGCCGCTCTAAAATGCAGCCAGTTATACTAACGGTAATGAAGTAAGTGCCGATTTGAGATTCGCTGTAGCGCATCGGCGTCGCGCTACGCGTGCGCCTTTTTTTACTTCAGGAAATCGGGAGACTTGTGTTTAAAAACAACTAATGATATGAAGGACGATCCCAGCAAAGTGCCTCGGTTGAATCTCAAGCCTACAGATCGGGGATCTGTTGGCTCACAGGTTATCCTGGGGAGTTATACGCGAAAGAGGCTTTTGGAAGCCAAAGAAAAAAAAAGGCGTGAGATTGAGGTTACACCAAAGTGATCATTCAGTGCTTTACAAGCGATTTGTTTGTGGCACAATCAGCTAAGTAAGACTTTAGTGCAGTTTTAACTCCACTTCATGCATTTTGTTTTATTTATATTTGTTGCCTCGAACCGCTTGAACTCCTGGGGGTGAGCTTGGTTCGAACTTTGTCTGACTTTTGTTCAGGAGTTCGAAGTTCATCAAGCTTCTGAAATTAAGAAGTTTGAAAGTTTGAAAATGGTTGAATTTCTTAGCGCGATAAGGTCTTAAATTTCTAACTTTATAGCGCGAAAAATTGAAAGTTCGAA